TATTGCAGAGGATCATGCTGAGCAGATTTATAGTTATTATTGATCTCCAGTTTATATTTTTATCCATGCCTGGATAAAAGTTTTAAACCTTTTATAGCGAAGAAATAGTTTCCTTGTATGTATCTTTCTTCAGAGGGGTATCCTTCATTTGCGGGAAGATTTATATAGGTTTTCAGTTGTTTTTAATCAGGCATGGGTCACTCATTTTCAAACTCATCACCATAAGCCACAGTATTTAGACATGTGTTTAAAACGAAAAATCTTAGTTGGGTGGAATCATATATATATATATATATATACATGGAGAAACACCTAATATAATAACTTTCAGAGTGATTTTTCATTCCTCCTGCTCCAGCTGAAGCTTCTGAAGAACGACCCCTCTGGGCAACTGTTTCTCCTTCCTAATCCCGATTGTCATTAAGTGTGTCCATGTTGTTTCTTTCAGTGTTGTCAGTACAGTCTATGCCCTGGAGCATTCACCAGCCCAAATGTGAGTATTTCAGGTGCTTTCCCATCTAAGGTGCCATGATCACCTCTCCAACTCTTCTGTTCTCACTCCCAAAGGAGTGTTATAGGTTCTTAGTCCTTCCCCTCTTTCCTCACTTGGAGAAAATGTTTGTATCCTTTATTCCTTGAGAAATTTAGCATTCATTTTTCCTTCAATGGAAAATAAATGACAATGCAGTTTTACTGATTTTGTTGCCTCCTAATGTTTAGGACTACAAGTCCAATAATCACTAAAGTAGTTGCTTGATGTTTGATAATAGGAAGATATCAGGTCGGAGATACTGGCTGTAAGATATTGGCTGTATTGAAAGTCAAGAAGTTCGTGATACGAACTCTTTAATGAAAATTTATAAGTGGTCCTAGGTGAGTTATCCTACTAGACATGGATCTCATAACTCCAAGATATTAGAGGCAAAGATAATAGTAATCTACTAAATAGAATTATTCTAAGGTACTCTGAGATGTTTATACATACCACATGGATCAATCGTGATAATACTATTAAATTAGCAAAATAATGGGGAAAACTAGGGTTCTAAATTTAGTTTAGCCATTTTTACCCAGCCTTTAGCTGAAAAATCCCTCCAAATGGCATATTACAGATGGTCCTCGAATTATAATAATTTGTTTAGTAACTGTTTGAGCTTACAACAGCAGCGAAAAAAGTTAATTATTACCATTTTTCACTTGACTGTTGTATCATTCCTATGAACATGTGATCAAAATTCAGATGCTTGGCAGTGTCCTGGGGTCATGTATTCACCTTTTGTGATCAGACAAGCAAAGTCAATGGGGAAGCTAAATTCACCTAACAACTGTGTTGCTAGCTTAACGACAATGATTCGCTGTCTTGCTTATTAATGGAAATGTTAGGCTCAAATATGATTGTAAGTCGAGGACTACCCATTTATTATTATATGAGCTGTGCTTGTGCAGTGGTTAGAATGCAGTATTGTTCACTAACTCTGCCCGCTGCCAGGAGTTCAATCCTGATTGGCTCAAGGTTCACTCAGCCCTCCATCCTTCCGAGGTCATGAAATGAGGACCCGGATTCTTGTGGGCAATATGCTGACTCTGTAAACTGCTTAGAAAGCACAATGAAGCAGTATATAACTCTAATTGCTATTGCTATTATTATCAAAAATAAAACTGAAGAAAATAACGAGGGAAAAATAAATGAGTGCAAGTTCTGAATTAGAAAGCTCAATGAGTAGTGATTGATCAGATCAGAAAGGTTAGTGGAGAGATTGCAAGTTTTATGTGGTAATCTCAGCAGTGGCATAACTGGAACAATCATAATGTCAATTAGAGCTGTAACTGCACCCATGGAAGGTTACTGACTGCTTTGCCTCTCTCTTAAGATCTTATCAAAATCAGCTATTTTAAGTTAATCTCTATAGCATGGGTATCCAACTTTTTGGCTTGCCTTGGTCACTTTGAGTTGAATGGAATTGTTCTGGACCCTATATAACATATATACTGTAGCTAATGTATATAAATCACATAACAACGTTAGTTATGATCTTGTGAGGCCACATTAGTAGCTGTCCAGGGCCTCCTAGGACCCATGGCCATGGATTATACACACCTGATCTCTAGGGAGTGAAAGTGGGATAGAAGAGTCATCCAATACACAAAAGTGTATGCAGTATAGCCCTTTAGATGGCAGGAAGGAGAATCGCTTCTTTGAAAATTCTCATTAAATGAAAATCTTGCAGTTAGATACCATATTGCAAGGAAGAGTTTTACCCCAAAACTTTAATTTCTCACCTTTCTACTTCAGTTCCTAATTTAAGAAAAAGTATTTTTAGCCTTGAATCAGGTTATATGTGATTCTGATATTAATTTAAGGTATAAGAAATAAGTTAAAAATGTATGGTAGAAGGAATCTATCCCTTTAGTTGGCAGAGAAGAAACATTTAAAAATGTATACTTCAGCCTTACTGTTCTCCAGCCTCCGATTGGTTATCCCTGAGGGAATGTCTTTCCCTTTTAAGAGTTGATCAGCTTATTTTACTGGCTGAAATCTAGACAGTAGAATCTACATAGATTCTCTAATCCTACATAGGATAGGACTTTTTAATTTCTAAGGCATCATACTCTTTCAAAGTAGAGTCTTTCCTTATCTGATCTTTTGAATAGAACATTTGTAACTTCTTCTCTTCCTTGATGTAATTCCTTAATATGAGAGACATGTGGTTGGATCAGTATGCATTTTGCATACAATATTTTCTGGCAAATTTTCATTCTCTGATCAGAAATAATTATGCTGAATATCTTCCCAGATTTTACTCAGGCAAATCTTGCTCCATGATCTGAGATTTTAGAGGCTTAATTTTTATTTTCTTCTTTCATCTTTATTGCCAGTATAGGAAAGGAAAACACTATAGAAATATTTACATTTTATTTTGTAATCAGGTAAGCTAGAATGCTTTAACAGAAAGCTAGTATAGATGAAACTAAAAATCAGGTAACACAAAATGCATTCATCACTGCATGTAGTGATAATGAGTAATTATTTCTTCCCTTTTCCATCTTGAACCAATGAAATTCACAGGCATTTAACCCAACATGCATATTTCCTCTTCTTTTTTCTTTCAGTAAATCATGTTTTTTCTCATTAACTTCCATCCAATCTGGGTTCATAATGTAAAAACAAACAAACTGTGGTTTGGCTTGCTTGGTGTATTATTACCTTCAGGGAATTGATGATTTTTCCAGGGAATACTGTCCAGCACAGGGGTTCCAATTTCTAGGCCACAGACCGGTGCTGGTCTGTAGCCTGTTAGGAATCAGACCACACAGCTGAAGGTAAGCAGCGGGTGAGTGAGTGAAACCGAAATCATCCCCCTCCTGGTGTGTGGAAAAATTGTCTTCCACAAAACCATATTCCATATTCTTTGAGATGGGTTATACAACATGTGTTGTGTGTGTTTTGCACTATTAAACACAAATAGCACTTAAAAAATAAATGACTTCTCCAGAGCTAAGAGATATACACTGATAAATTTAATGAACAAAGAAAGAGTAATATCTCAATTATGAGAACTATGTAACTTTTGGTATCAATATGGCAACTCACAAATCCAAAGGAAATTTTTAAGGGAACTCATGAATGTTGGAATTTTATGCTTGCTATGGATAATGCAGGTATGGAGTAATCTGGGCACTCACTATCTGTAATCAGATATGGAGTAAGATGGGTGCTCACAGTCTATAATCAGCTTAAACTAATGTCTGAGAACAACTGGCAAAAACAGTAGTACTGGGGAGCAGTGTGCTTCATAAGAAATAATCCTGCCCTGCTTCAAATAAAATAGATTATTTCGCTTTTGTAATATGCAGGCTTGGGTAGCCTGTAGATACAAGCCTAACTTTCTTAGGAGTCATCATCATCTGAATTATAAGTAAATCAAAATGTGAGTTCTATTCATCTGGGCACGGTGGAAATACAAATTATCTTTTGTCATCTGATCACAACATATAAGCAGGCTCTCATTTTTCCTAATGGGTTATCTCTTGGATATAAGCTTTTATTGCTGTTAACGTTTCTTTTTCCTTGTCACTGATAACAATGACTGCCTATATCTGGGCTGGTGGAAGATTTTTATTGAAAAACATTTTTTTTTAAATGCTGTATTATACTGTAGGCTTGAGAGTATGATATACTTTGGGCCATAGGTGTAGCCATAGCTGATCTAATTTTGAACCCCAGTTATGCTATGTAAGTGCTAGATCCTTTGTTTAGAGAAGAAGCTATGCATGTTGCTGAAGTCCTAATTTCTGAGCGTCCACAATCTCCCTTGCTGTCCTTTTCTTCCTGCTTTTGAGAGAACCTCAGCTGCAGGCTGCGTGTTTGCAAGCTTTCTCCTGGGTCTGTGAAGGCTAGAATCACGAAACTGCACTGGGCACTTGGGGTTCTCTGCTTACACGGCTAGTTATTGGGAGCGTATGAAATCAAGGCAGCTTTGTGCTTGAAGAACGCTGAATATTGAGAAATGTAAACATTGGGAAATTGTATTTATGGGAGGCAAAAGTATTTAGAAACAGATTACTTGGAAGTAGCAAATCGGTGAACTCTGTGTTAATTCCCCTACCTCTGGGAATGTTTGTTTTTGTCTTCCTGTCTTCAACAGGGAAATGCTTCCTTTACTGCAATGGCCTCATGGACCACCTCTATGTCTGTCAGAATGGGAACAGCTGCACAGCCTGGTACAAGGCTCCCACTCATTTTACCGGCACCTTGGTAAGGGCCCACATGAGGAAGGGCAGAGCCCTCTGCCAGCTAAGGAGATCAAGTAGATTGTATTTTATATTTTGAGTTAAGCAGATTACTTAAATTTCCTGTGTTGCCAATGTCCTTTAAAGGTAAAAATTGGTATAAGTAAAACTTTAGCACGGGGAGGGAGGACCTCTGCTCACTTATGGGCTGCAAGGTTAATGGATAGAGTTACTCCCACCGGTGTGAAGCTATCTGCCTCACTGCCTTCAAAAAAAAAAAAAAAAAAAAGAATACGGTATTAGATTGCGCTTTTACTATTTGTTATTTATTTTATCAGATCCTGTTATTGATTGAAATTATTGTTGGATGTTATTTTTAAAATCATCATGGTTATACACCAGAAAACTATGAAAATAAATAAATATACATCTGCTTAGGAATAACCAAAAGTACAACAGCTTTAACAGCTTAGACTAGCTATCCTCCACCACCAGATGTGTTTTCCTATCTAATCAGCAGGGGCAAAGTCTGGGCTGCAAGGAGTTCCAGAAGTTGTAGTATTTCATGCCTATTAAAATACAAAATGGAACCTAAAGCATCCAAGTCCTCTAAAATGGAAGCGTTTATTGTTAAGACCTGGAAACAAGAGGGTGTAATAAGAAACCAAGCCAAATTATGTTCTTGCATTTGCTGAGTTAAGGTTACATTCTCCTAAAAAAAAAAATGGTATGCCATTGGAGAGGTAGTCTAGTCTATTTGAGAAGCATCCAGTTGGAAAAAAAGTAGCTCTATAAAGCAGAAGAATGGCCTCCAATCAGTTTTTATTATTTATATATTTATTTAAATTTATTGGCTGCCCAACTCCAATGGACTCCGGTTGATGTACAGATCTAGAAAAAACAATTAAAATATTGAATCAGACAGTCCTGACTAAAATAACCTGATAAACAACAAAATCAGAAAAACGAAATGATTGAGAGTAGAGCCATCTGATCTAGGAAAGAGTTGCTCTGGTACCCCATACAAAGCTGTACAAAAGTCCTCTGGCCATGATTGCCACCTTCTCTTTGGGCAAGAGTCATGAATCCAGAAGGATCCCAAGATTGCACACCAGGTGTGTCTGGAAAAATGCAGCCCCATAAAACCTCAGATACAGAAGGGTCAAAACTCCAAAGCCATTCAATCTTGTAAAAAGTTCGGCTGAAGTTTGCTGTTCTTATCTAGACTCCCACAGCCTCCGGATTCCAAGGAAGGATATCAACAGCATCACTTAGCTCACCAGGGCTGCAGATGTATAACTGGATATCATCACCAAACTGATCATACCTTTACCTCCGTGGTGAAAAATGATGTCACCCAGTGGCTTTATGTAGATGTTAAATAGGACTGGATTGAGTATCAAGTACTGAAAAAAAAACCACAAAGTAGGAGCTGAGAACTGGATCTCTCACTCCCAATCAACACTGACTGAAAACAGCTTTGGAGGAAGGAAGTGAACCAGTGCAATACCATGCTGCTTACTCCCAGTCTTCAAAGCTGATCCGGAAGGATACCATGGTTAGTGATATCAAAAGTTGCTGGGTATGTGTGGGTCAAGAAAAAAAGAATAGATGTACTCTGCCCGTCTTGCTTCCACCAGCGATCATCCAAATGGGTGATCAGTGCTGTTTCTGTCCTGTATATGGGTCTAAACACTCACAGAAAGGATCCAGATAATCCATTTCATCTCTGACCATCTTCTCAACAATCGTCCTAAAAAGAATATGTCAGCCAAGCTCAAAAGACAGGACTCTGTCCAATTCTTCAGATCCAAATAGAAATGGAAAACAAGTAGATTCTGGAGTTGGTGGTCTGGTGCAAAGAAGTTTCTACAAGAAAGGTGTTAAATACCTCCCTTGCACCACTATTCATAGCTACTACTTTCTTCTTGAAAAATTTCCCCAGAGTTCTCTCTGTGTGTGTGTTTGAATGCAGTAGAACAACCAGTTTATAGATTATTCTGCTTAATAGTATGGCAAATAAACTTGTAAAAGTTACAGCATATACTTCTTTTATAGTAAGAGACCCACTGAAGCCTATTTCTAAACATACCACAGAGGAGAACATGAAAAAAAGACCTGCTTTAAACATCCAACAGAAAATCAATGGATTGCCAAAAGAATACTCTTTTCTTGTCTAGCTATTCACTCACCTGCATTAAATTTTTGATTACTGAAAATGTAACTCACTTCTCTAACTTTGTGTTTAGCAAAATTGGAATGGACAAACTATGTATGTTTCAAAACACTTCAGATGGTTTTTTTCATGGTAACTTGTCTTTTCATGTATATACTTTCTTGCTCTTGTTCATTTTAGGATGCTTTTGTGAAGATCATACGGCATGAAGGTATTCGATCCTTGTGGAGTGGCCTGCCACCTACTCTGTGAGTCTGAAAATTATTAAAATAAAAATCCAGTCAATGGAAGTCTTGAGTCATAAATCACTATTATGCTTTAAAATATTCTTGTCTATTCTCCCTCCCTACTCTAGTTACTAACTGTAAAAAATCAATTGAGTTTGTAGAATATAAGGCAAAACTTTAAACCTCCACATCCAAAAGCCATAGCCTCATCCCAACTCCAACTCTCACCACCTATCTTCCAAGTATACCTCACCTAGCATTTTCCTCTAGAGAAATAATTTGTGCTGTTGCACTTTGTACAGATAATCCTTGAATGATAACCCGTAATGGGACCTGCCCATTAGGTTCTGGAGTCCAGACAATGTTAAATGAACTGCTTCAAATAATAACCTGCTCTCCCCAATGCAGAAGGACTGATTTGTTGATCTTCCTCCCAATTAATTGCAAAAACTAAACTCCCTGCCTCCAATCTGTATTTCTTTTAAAAGCTTACCTTGACTCCAGGCTGAAGAGGAGGATTTTTTCCGCAACTTTTTCCTTTGAATTGGAGAAAAGAAAACACCTTCAGAAATTTAGCCAACTAGACACTTGTCCAATAAAATGGAGGATGCTGGGTCTTTGCAAGTGTTAGCTGTTTGTCTGATTACCTGTACAGGCATTCTGTAGTCTAGTCCTTAAATCCCAGCTGGGTTTTACCTTTACTGTCGATTTGGCAATTAAAAAGCAAAATGAAACAAAAATGAGAATAATCTCTCTGCAACTTCCTGGGTAAGTAGTTTAGAGTTGCAGAATTTCAGTTCCTTCCTAAGAGAGAGAGAGAGAGCTAAGAAAATGTTATCACAAAAAAGGAAGAGATCAAATATACTGTATTTTGGGGAGTATGCTTTTTTTCCACCCCCAAAAGCGGGTGGAAATGCCTATGCGTCTTATACAGCGAATGTTGCTGAAACCCCACCCACCTGCCGGCCCCCACCCTTTGCCCTCTGCCTCCCAGCAATTTGCCTCCTTGCACCAAACAGCCCGGTCACCTTCAGCACAGCCTGATTAGTACAAGCAGCTGATTGTCTGTTAGATTGGCCTTCTGATGATCAGCAGTTTCAGGCTGCAGGGATTGCTATTGCCGCCTCAGCGTACCCCATCTTCCTGCCTGTTCTGATTCCCATCACCCCGAACGGGCCAAAAATGGGGTGTGCGGAGGCTGAAAATCAAATGTGAAGTCCGAAAATGGGGCATATGGAGGCGGCAATAGGCTATGGCAATCTCTGCAGACTGAAACAGCTGATCATCGGGAGGCTGATTCAACTGACAATCAGCCGCTTGTGCTAATCAGGCTGTGCTGAAGCTGACCAGGCTCTTTGCTGTTTGCTGCAAAGAGGCAAATTGCTGGGAAGCAGAGGCAGATTTTTTTTTTCTTATTTTCCTCCCCAAATGCTAGGTGCGCCTTATACTTCAGAGCGTCTTATACTCCGAAAAATATGGTAAACCCCCCTTTTTAAACTTTTAAACTTAAATGCAAATGTTCAAGATTGGGGCAAAGGAATTACATAGTTGCCCTGATTGAGACCAACAGAATGCAGAAGAAATGCTGCAGGCACAGCATAAGATGGCACTTTTAGATAGGAATTTATTTGGCAGAATTTTGAAAGAGAGATTATAGGGAATTCAAATGGATATACAGTAACTCATTGCAAATATTCATATGCTCAGCTGAAATAATAAGAAAAAACTGAAATTACATCAAATTTACTAGCTTGACTAGAAGCCCGATAAAAAAGAAACAGACTTGACTTAGCAGAGTTGCCACGAAAGAAACAGTCCCGTTCAAATTCTGAGTAGAACATACAAAAATACTGACTCTTTTTGAAAACAAGATCACCTATTTCCTTTTACTTTCCCTTTTTCCTAGAAATTCCACTTTCAATCTAAAGGTCTAGAAAATGATGTCAGTCTCCCCTTTTCTCAACCTTGGTCAGGAAACTTCTTTGATTCTCTTCTCCAGTTCTGTCTTTGTTTCTCTCAGATAGCTAATATTTTCTATTTCCAGGATTGAGACGGAATCTGTGCCTAGGCCATGGCTTCCTGTGGAAATGTAAAATTTGAATCTGCAGTCTTAACAAGGAGATATTTATTGAGAATATCAGAGTTCTTGCTCATGAATGGAAGTCCATTTGACCTGCATCCAAAACTGTTCCTACATGGCTTCTGAGAAGTCCATTCTTTGTATTCATCTGGAAAGGATCAGGTGGTTCTAGTTGGGGCAAACTAAAATATTCAGTTGATTGCAGCCCAAACTGTATAATACTCAAACTTTTGAATATCAGAAGTCCAGGATTAGGTTCTTCAGAATTACAAAGTTTTTTCTCTTCGTGCCGAATTACGGCACTTTTTGTTTGTTTTGCTTGATGTGATGAGATAGATATTAATAATAGATCAGATCTAGTAGAGCTTCTATACGTGTGTACATTCTCTTTTCTTCAGAGTTATGGCTGTCCCTGCTACCGTGATCTATTTCACTTCTTATGATCAACTACGTGATTTGTTGCATGTTAAGATGAACAGCCAAGGACACTATATCCCACTGGTGGCTGGTGCAGTTGCCAGATGTGAGTTTCATCCATTTTTGTATACTTGCAGGAACTATAGACTTTGATGTTGCTTGAAAATGGCTTTAAAAGCTAGGGGAGGGAAACTGCCCTTTCAAAGGCGCATAGCCATTAAGGTTGTGCAAAGCTTTGAAGCAAGTATTTTGTAAAGTGTATGGTGGTAGCATGAGTGAAACCTCTTGGAGGTTTTAAAGCAGCCACATCCTTTAAAGGACTTACATGATTCTTTGGAGGGCTGGTCCTCAACCCTTCAGGCATGGGTTCACGCACAACCATTTTATTTTGGCTGGCAGTACCAGCAGAAGTGTTGTTTGTGCATAAATATTCATAAGACTTTAATATGGCCACAGAAGTCTTCTAGAAGATGTGGCCACTTTTAGGATTTGAGGAGGTGCTTTGTGAAATGCTTTGGATAGCTGTAATATTCTGGGGCTCTCTCATTCTGCAACATTAAGGTCTACAGGTTTCAAAATCTTTTTTTTAGAATAATATAGGACTCTGATAAAAAGATGATCAAAAATACAAGTTATGAACCAGCATTCTGCCATTCAAATCACTTTAGCCTAAGACTCATTAGTCCCTGAGCCTCAGTTATCCATCCACATCTGTTATATGTTGTTTACATTGGGTTATTTTACATTGGAGTATTATACAAAATATTGGTGTAAGATACAGTATATGAAACAGATGGAATATATGAAAGACTTCTGTTATGTTACATAAGCAGAGATATTAGAAGCTGCTAGTTTATGATTTGCTTTATGCTCAAATGTGCTAAATTTTTCCTAGGTGTTCTACATCGTTACTGTCAGATTTAGCTGTATTAGAAACATAATAATTACTTGTAGAGACTTCTCACTGAAAGACATCTTTAGTGGGAAATTGTGTATGCATATTGGTTATTTACTCATATCAAGAATCACAATTAAAATAAGGCAACATAAAATTTAAATATAAAATGTAAAATATGATTAATATGTACAATAGATCTTGCTCAGAAACTAACAACATTAATTGCATTCTGTCATGCGTACTATGAAGTCCTCAAGTATACACTGATCAGGACAAAAAGGACATGTATACATACCGTGTTTCTCCAACAATACGGCCTCCACCAATAGGAAGGCCCAGCATGTTTTATTGGCATAAAATCAAATTAAGCCCCTCCCCCCAAATTAAGGCCTATATTAAACGTGTGAAATGGGGGGGAATGGCAGGGGGGGCTTGCCATTAAGAAGTACTTTTGTTGCATATGGTGCTGCCTGCGTTAGGTGGGGCACTTTGTATCGGGAGACCTTCCACCACCATTGCTTTCCCTTCTCCCTTGCTGCCGCAGCGTTTAGAGCAACGCCGCGGCATTTGGCGCAGCCATGCGCGGCCAGCCAGGGCTCCTCCCTGCAACCGGAGCCCTGCAAAGACACTTGGCTTCAGGCGCTCTGTCGCCACCTTCCCTTTGCCTTCGAAGGTAAAGCCAATTATTTTAAAAATGACACCCTACTACAACAAAGCCTCCCCTGCCCGAGAGGGCAGCCCAACCCCACGTGGGGAAGCGAATCTCCTGGGGCCGCAGCGCAGGATCGGCCCACCCTGGGAGAAGCACCCAGCCGCCATCCCTGCCTGGCACCAGGCAGAGCACGAAGAGTTTCATCTGGGGCGCCCAGCACAGCTGACAGGCAGGCCCTCCTTCCCGGCGGCAGAACTGTCGCCAAGGCAGCGAGCGCCTCCCTGCCGGGCCCTCCGCTCATCCCACAAGGACCGCGCCGGAGTTGTGCGGGCTGGGCAGAGCTGGTAAAGCGAGCCGCGGGTGCGCGCCCACCTGCCAAGCGAAAGAGCCGGGCCGACCGAAGCTTGGCTTCCTTCCCAAGTCCCTCCAGCCTGAACCCGAAGGGGCCACCAGGAGAGGCCACCCGAGGCAGTGATAGCGCCCACCCATCCATGGACAGGGAGGCAAGGCGACAGCCTGCGCCGCGTCCTCCTCCGAGTTGAGCCCCGCCGAGTCAGCGCCTCTGCCTGATGCCCGTTCCGCTGCAGCGTTTGGAGCTGCCAGCGCATTTGGAGATGTGTGGTGACGGGCTGGGCGATGGGTGGAAAGGATGGGGGGCTTCGGGCTCTCTCTGACGACCAGGGAAGTAGCGCTGCCATCACCTCACCTCCCTGTCCGCGGACGGGTGGGCGCTATCACTGCCTCGGGCAGCCTCTTCCGGTGGCACCTTCGGGTTCGCACTGGAGGGACTTGCGAAGGAAGCCAAGCTCAGGTCGGCCCGGCTCTTTTGCTTGGCTCGCTTTCCTGGCTCTGCCCAGCCCGCACGGCTCTGGAGTGGCCCTGGCGGGATGAGCGGAGGGTCCGGCGGGGAGGCGCTCGCTGCCTTGGTGAGAGCTCTGCTGCCGGGAAGGAGGGCCCGCCTGTCAGCTGTGCTGGGTGCCCCAGGCGAAGTTCTTCACACTCTGCCCGGCGCCAGGCAGGGATGGCGGCTGGGCGCTTCTCCCGAGGTGGGTCGATCCTGCGCTGCGGCCCCGGGAGATTTGCCTCCCCACGTGGGGTTGGGCTGCCCTCTCGTGCAGGGGATGCTTTGTTGTAGTAGGGTGTTGTTTTTAAAATAATTGGCTTTACCTTCGAAGGCAAAGAGAAGGCGGCAACAGGAGCGCCTGAAGCCGAGTGTCTCCGCCGGGCTCCGGTTGCAGGGAGGAGCCCTGGCTGGCCACACGTGGCTGCCCCAAACACCGCGGCGTTGCTCTAAACGCCACGGCAGCAAGGGAGAAGGGAAAGCAACGGTGATGGAAGGTGTCCCGGTACGAAGTGCCCCACCAACGCTGAGGTCAACATCCAAGCTGTTGCCACCTGCCCACCCGAGGATGCAAGGGGGGGGGGGAATCAAGTCACCCCCGAAAAGGTGGCCTAGCCGTTTTTTCGGGGGTCAAAAAAAAATAAGGCCCGGCCTTATTTTGTGAGAAACACGGTATGTGTTGTTGTCTGCATGTCACCACAATCGTAAAGGGCAGAAGCCACCAGATAGCCCCATTTGTTTTGTGTGTTTTTGAATAATGTTATACCTGGGCACAGTCTATTCAATGATTTCCATAGTTCTTAGCTTCTGCCAGACCCAGTTCTCCATTGGTTCCACCCAGTGTTGGTTCTTTATAGCTTTTCATAGGTTCACTATTAAATTCTTCAAAGACTTCTATCAACCTGTCATGCCCCCGCCAGAGTCTGAATCCGAGATGGAAGAAGAACAGCTGACAGAGAGCAGGAGAATGGCTCCGTTGGCTGTGGAAGAAACTGGCGAAGGACAAAGTCAGGCTGGGCAGAGCAGGGTAGAGGTAGAACAAGGGAGATGGGGTTCAGATAAGACCAAGGCCCACCCCATCCTATGGCACGCAGAGAAGAACACAGAAGAGAACGTGGCTATCAAGGAAGGAAAGCCCCCCCCCCCCGATTACCTTCACAAGGCACACCTGGGAATGGAGTTTAAAGGAGAGGCAGTTGGGAGGGGCGTTTCTTGGGAACAAATGCTGAATTCATTTAGCGCTGAGAGTTGTGGCCTACATTCCTGGCATTCCTCCTGACTGTTTGAATTATTGACAATCTGTGTGATTGTCTTGCTGGAATTATTGCCACGATTCTACACTTCTTGGAATCATTATCTTGCCCTGGTCGAGTGATTGATTGCAGTCATTCTGCTTACAGCGTTTGGACTGGAGTATCCGTAGCCAGAGGCTGCTGTAGGTTATTGAGAGTTTTGCAGTGATAATTCAGCACCAGAACAATAAACACAGATGGCTGGTGCTTCATTTAACATCTTTATAAACATAAGTAGATTTTACAAACCAGTTGTAGATTTCTCCAACACGGAGCAAACTCAAACAGAAACATGTTGCAAGTTCAGAGTCCCAGTCTTCAGCAAACAAGCAAGTTAGTTTCATCTTCAATAGACAGACTCAGAGCTCAGTTTCCAAAACAGTCCTTATTGGCTGACTTAGTTGCTATGCCTATTCATTGGCTGACCTTGTTATCATGCTCTATTCCAGTTCATGAATATATTCTGACACTCCTCCCTTCATAACTGGAATAGACATAAATCCAAGTAACTTTATATTTTTCTCATGGTGTACTCCACGCAATGGCTTGGTCATTATGTCAGCCAAATTGTCTTCTGATGCACAGGATTCACTTTCGTCCTCATCCAAACTGTTGTGAAAATCTGTACTCATAGGCGTTGGAGCAGTATTACAATCTTTCAAGATCTCTCCAACAACTGTTCAATTTTCCTTTGTTGACTGAGATTATAACCACCTTTCTTAGTTTTCTTAGATAATTTTTTATTTCTCCTACATTCTTTAATTCAAATTTCTTCAACTTATTTGCAAATTTGTTTACCTGTGATTCATCCTTTGTCCATGGCTTCTTTCCACTTGTTCAATTTTAGGTAATGCCAATACTTCTTTGTAGTTCCTTGGCTCATACCATACATTGCACACTTTAACTTCACTAGCAGAATACCTGTCAGGTGGAATCCCCTTGTTCCCATCACTCTGACCTGCATGGCACTGACTGCTCTTGTGTGTCAACCCTCTCTTGCCTCATATCTTGTTCAATTTCTTCCCACTGAATGCTGACACCATCACTAAGTGAGTTACCGTCACTAAGTGAATCACCATCACTAAATGAATCATTCCACAAATTGGCATCAATTCTGTTCCAATTTTGCTCTGCAAAGCTTGCAGACCTTGAAAATACTATTCTTTTGCTCCCATCGCTAAAGCGATAACTTTTTGAGCCTGGCTCATAGCCCACAAACCTGAGCTTTCTGGCCTTTGGTTGCCCCTTTCTTCTAACTGCTTTTGGAATATGCACCCATGCATTGCTTCCAAACACCCTTAAATGTGCTAGAGATGGTTTTCTCTCATATGCCACTGCATATGGAGTATCATTAATGGAGGAACTCCACAACCTATTAACTAAATAGTTAGCAGTCAATATGGCTTCACCCCAATATGACCTGCTTAGACCAGAATCCTCTAGCAGTGAGTCCTTCATGGTTTGCAAGATTCCATTCCATCTCTCAGCAACACCATTATCAGCTGCTGTGTAAGGATTTGTGCATCTGTGTTTTATTCCTAATTGTGCCAACCACTGTTGAAAACTTGTTGACATGAATTCTGAACCTCTTGTCAGTTTGCAGCTGACATGCATGTTGTTTATACCTTCTTTCTATAAAGCTTACCCATTGCTTAAATTTCTGTAGCACCTCTGTTTTACTCTTTAATAAATAGCAGAACCCAAACCTGCTATAGTCATCTACAATGACAAGGGCATACTTAGCTCCTCCCAAACTGGTTTGCATTGGGCCCACCAAATCTGCATGTACCAGCTCTAGAGCTCTTGTGCTACATGTACCAACTGCATGTACCAGCTCTAGAGCTCTGCCTTGTGCTACTCTTGCTTACTGGGAATGCCTTGGACTTTGATGTTTTTCATACTGCACAATCCAAATATGCCTTACATCCCTTAACATGCAATCCTGCATACTGATCCATCTTTTGAACAACTTCAAAGTTGGCATGACCAAATTTTCTGTGCAAAAGATGAACACATGAATCATGTTTTGCAACATTGCCAAATGTTTGTGCACATTGAACATATAAAGGTTATCGTGCTTTATGCCCATTGCACATAAAATTCCATTTTTCTTTATAAGACATTGCCCATTTACAAATGTGGTCTCAAATCCTTGTTTGTCTAAAGTAGAGAAACTCAGCAAATTACGTTCCATTTCTGGCACACATAAAATATTATTAAACCTTGTTTCCAAATATGGAATTTGCACACTGCCTCTTCGAATGACTTTAGCCTTCTTGCCATTTGCCAAGGCTACTGTGTCTCCTGCAGCTGCATCCATCCTGCAAAACAATTTAGCATTATAAATAATCGTTTGGCTAGCCTCACTGTCAATAAGCCATTGATCTCTTCCATTACTATTGCAGGCCTTTGCAACAGCAATCTGTCCATCAACCAGTCCTTGTAAACTTCTCCTGTCTTTGCAACAAACAGTCTGTCTTTAAGTGAGATTGTCTCTGTTGCTGGGTTGTAATCTGATATCCCCTGCTGCTCTTCTCTTCCATTCTCCATTCTTCCATTTTCCATTCTGCTCCTTGGGTCCCCTCCTCAGGGATTTCTCCTCCTCGAAGCTTTTTTTTCTATAATGGCGTTTCTGCTCTTCAGCTATCAGACACGCTTTCAGACCTTCCAGACTCAATTCCTGCTCTGGTTTGCATTCAGACACTGCAGACACAACGTCCCAAGTTTCATCTAGGCTGTTCAAAATTTTAAGAGCACTTTCTGAGACTCAGATATTCTCATCCCATGTTGTTCTAATTCCACAAACAAAGTTGGCATATGAACAAAATGTTGTTCCACTGAATCTCCTGGCTGCAAACAAGCTCTGTATAACTTTTTTGATAATTGTACGGTGTTCATGCACATACGCTCACATGAATAATCCTCAATTTTTCCCAGACTTCCTTTGCAGTCTTTAAATCAGCCACATTGATAAACTGATCATCTTCTAAACTTAAGATGTTTCTTCCCCAAACCCCAAAAACTTTAACCTTAGACTGTCTACTATTGACCTCACCCCTTTCCTAAGAGGTCTGTAGGGGACGTGCATAAGCGCACCAACGTGCCTACCGTCCCTGTCCTATTGTTTCTCTTATTCTTCTTTTATTTTTCTTATATGTATCCATATCATGTATTCACAACTATGTATACACTTATACTTATTATCTTGTAAACAATTGGCAAATCAAATAAATAAATAAAATAAATAAATAAATAAGATGATATAAGCAAATGCTCTATCCTGCAGCTTCTGATCTGCAGCATTCAATGGTGCTTGGGGTGGATTTTCAATAATATTCCAAAGCTCTTTAGCCTTCAGGAAACATTCCATCTTTGCAGCCCAAATAATATAGTTCTTCTGACCCAAATGGGGTAGAGAGCTTTCTTTAATTTTTTCAGCCATCCTGCAAAGCCTCTTGCCTTGTTTCTTACTTTTAAAACAGGCAGTCTCTCAGCTTTAATTACAATTCAGTCTTTTCTCTGGCCTTCTGGGCCCATAACCTATTGAGAGTTTTGCAGCGATAATTCAGCACCAGAAAAATAAACACAGATGGCTGATGCTTCATTTAACATCTTTATATAAACATTAAGTAGATTTTACAAACCAGTTGTACATTAGATTTTACAAACCAGTTGTAGATTTCTCCAACATGGAGCAAACTCAAACAGAAACATGTTGCAAGTTCAGAGTTCCAGTCTTCAGCAAACAAGTTAGTTTCATCTTCAATAGACAGACTCAGAGCTCAACATAGCTGCAGAGTTGCAGAACTTAATATAGACCCACGCCTAGGCTACTTTTAGTTTCAGTTTCCAGCCAAAACTACTAGTTTCAGTTTCCAAAACAGTCCTCATTGGCTGACTTAGTTGCTATGCCTATTCATTGGCTGACCTTGTTACCATGCTCTATTCCAGTTCATGAATATACTCTGACACAGGTTTGTGGGAGAGCTTTTCTCCAGGCCAGAGAGTAAACGGGACATTGAGGGCAAAGTTGGTATCAATAAAGGGACTTATACCAGTTCTCTGGTATTGCCTTTGTGCCATGCCCCAGGTCATCACACAAACGAAGGAAGCTTTTCCTGGGTATTAATCTCTGATAAACTGGTTGTAGACCATAGAGTGGGTATGGTTTACATCTACACGTGTGTATGAATAATGTATATCTGCCATTTTTGAAATTTTCATCTGAAATGCGAGTGAATTCTCCTTAAAATCATATTTATGTCTAAGTGCTTAAAGATGGTAATAGGAAGTTGTATATTTCTTCTATATCATGTTTATATACTGTTTCACAGTGTGTGTGTGTGCAATCTGCAAACATCAACTCCATCAACCAATCAAGAAATGAGAACACAGCCAACCTCCCCACCAGTATATATAGGGAGACAGCAGCTCCGATCATGCTTTGCTCGCACAAGCACGAAGCCGAAAGCACCAGCCTGAAGAACCTCGTCGAAACGTTGCCAAGATACTCTCAATCTTACATGGGAAAAGACCCGAACACGCCAAGACCTGCATACACACACACACACACACACACACACACACACACACACAGGGAACGATACTATGTTTCTTCTATACCATCTTCTATGTTTAAAGATGGTAATAGGATTAAGTAAAATTGGGTGTTTCTATTAACCACCCCAAAGCATCAATTGCCTTTTGTGACCATAACCAACACACTGTGCAATTACTTTTCCCAGGTAAATCGTTGTTATCTACTTCACAGTCAATTTTCAGTCTGGCATTTAGAAAACAGTTCTGGTTTCAGTTCTGATTCTCTTACCTGATCTAGGGAGACTGCTGAGCAGGGGAAAGATTTAATGTTGAGAGCGAGATAGCTACTTCATTAAAACTTCTATTGATTTCCTTGGTATTATAATGTTCAGCCACCTAAAGCCTGTTCTGGTTTCTGTTCCAGTGATTTTTATAAAAGAAACCAATCTTCCACTTTGGTATTTGAGTGGGCCCCTGGCCTGAAGTAGAAGGAAGTAGTGTTGATAGAGAAAAGTTGGTTTCTCATGCTGGATTGGGTTTTCTTCCATAGTGGGTGCAGTAACTATGATCAGCCCCTTGGAACTCATACGAACAAAAATGCAGTCTCGTCAGCTGAGCTACCAGGAACTTCGTGTCTGCATCCAGTCTGCAGTGGCACAAGATGGATGGATGTCTCTTTGGAGGGGCTGGGGTCCAACAGTGTTACGGGATGTTCCTTTCTCAGGTATGAATTGAAGAAGAGGATTTGGGTCACTAGCAACAAGGATTTAAGGAGATTAGAATGCATTACAAACAGCTGGTATCAGTAGAGATGGGCATTATTGTAAAGCTAAAGATCAGTTTCTTAGTTATTAGATAAGGAAGCTATGCAGTTGCCACCTTGAACATTTTAAAAATGAAATTTGTATACTTTAAAAAAAACACAAAGGAATGGGATTATACCATTATACATATAATAACAGCCCTGGTGGCACAGTGGTTAAAGTGCAGTATTGAAAGGAGACTCTGCCCACAAGTAAGAGTTTGATCCTCACAGACCTCAAGATTGACTTAGCCTTCCATCCTTCCGAGGTCAGTAAAATGTGGAGTCACATTGTTGTGGGAAATATGCAAATAATGCTTCAAAATTTTAAACTGACCAGAGAGTGCATGGGGTGATATATAAGCCTATACACTAATGCCATTTCTATACAACCCTCAGGAACGCATTTTTACTTCAAAATTAATCTTCCAGAGTGGTAGATAAAGAGTTCGTCTAGGTGGAAGTCATTTCTGACTTTACCAGAAGTCTTCTACTAGTCTAATCTAATTGTCTACTTTGTCTACTCTAATCTGAGCAAAGCTATCCATAATGTTACTGTATTGAGAGAGTTGCAAACTGTACAAATGACTACACCTTATTTTTTATGCAGAGAAAAATATGGTGAACTGATATCTACAACCTCTTTCTGTTTTCCTCATGTTTCCCTTTCTCTTGCTTCCCAATAGCTCTATATTGGTGTAATTATGAACTAATGAAAGATCTGCTGTGTAGGCAGTTCTGCCTTGATGAAGCCACTTTCATGATCAGTTTTTCAGCTGGAGCTGTTTCTGGCATGGTGAGTTCCAGAGCTTTATAGATCTTTGTATAAATGTGAAGAGATCTACCTGTGATCCAGAATATGCTGAAGTTACATGAACTTTATAATACGCAATGGAGGAGAAGATGTAGGCTTTAGATGCAGCAGTGCTGTAATTCCCACTGGCTCAGTTATCACAATAAATAAACATGGTTCCTGGAAGTTGTATTCTACAGTCAAAGCCACTGGCCATGTTAGTCAAGCTAGTGGGCCAGGCCAGTAGCTACAAATGAAGGGCCCTTTTGTTACAGTTTGCAGCATAAATTCATGTCCAGAAAACACAGAGACTGATTCAGCAGGATCATTAACTTCTTTATAAACATATTAACAGGAGTAAAGTTTACAATACCATTTGTAGATTCTTTCAACGTAACATAAGCAAAAACACAAGCAGCAGCTCAGAGCAGATATCAGTTTAGTTTCTATTCTCAGCAAAGCACACAGAGCCAAACTACATCTAGTCTCAGCTTCCATTGGCTGGTCTGTTGCCATGCTTAATCACCTGCTGACTTTGTTAACCATGTCTCTGCCAGTTAATGAATATACTCACACTTTTATACATGGAAATCTATTTTAGTTGATTTTAATGGATCTTATCAGTGTAGCATCTTCATTTTTACTGCTAAATAGCCGGGTTAGAGCAGGGGTGTCAAACTCACATCATCATGGCAGCGTCATGTGATGTATTGCGACTTTTTTTCCACCTTTGCTAAACCAGCACATGACGCATCTAGCCTACGGGCCGCAAATCTGACAGCCCTGTGTTAAGAGCCTGAAATTTCTGCACTTAAACTCAGTGATCCATGGACCACAGAAGCTAATGATCTTACTTTAAAATTATACTGTTCACTGAGTGATGGAAGTCAACACATCTCAATACCTCTTTCTGTTAAAAGCACATAAGGCTAGTTCTTCAACTGGGCACACCAGGAGAAGAAAGTTTCTAAGTCTATCATAGTCTGCTTAATATAGTCCTTCACATCATAAGTTTTATCCGTTTTAGAAAGAAATATGTAACTTAAATCCTGGCAGTAAACATTTGTCATATCTTCTTTTTTCTTTCTTACCGGAATGGCTATACTCTGCCCTCAGTTTTCACAGTTATTTAAAGTTAATAGAGTGCACTATTTTCAGCAATAAGAAGTAGTATTCAAGTTAAGAACCTGAAATGAAGGGTTCATTATAGAAAATTTGCTTTCATCCCATCTAAATGTTGTACAGATAGTGACTAACAGAACATCCTACCTATTCTCCAGGTGGCTGCTACTTTGACTTTGCCCTTTGATGTTGTAAAGACTCAGCGACAGATTGAGCTAGGAAACATGGAGACACTCCAAGGTAAGAAGTGAACACCTGCCAACTGCTGATAGGTAACTATCAAACAGAAGGCAGCTCCTTTGAACATATATTCCTATACTTGAGTTAATACCGTGTTTCTCATATAATAAGGCTGGGTCTTAATTTTTTTTTGAGCCCCGAAAAAATGGCTAGGCCATCTTTTCGGGGGTGACTTAACTCCCCCCCCCCCCCGTTGCATCTTTGGGCGGGCGGCAACGGCTTGGATGTTGACTTCAGCATTGGTGGGGCACTTCGTATCGGGGTCAACGCAGGCAGCACCATATCCGGGTGTGCAACAAAAGTACTTCCTAACGGCAAGCCCCCCCCACCATTCCCCCCCATTTCGCATGTTTTAATATAGGCCTTAATTTGGGGGGGAGGGGCTTAATTTCATTTCATGCCTATAAAACATGCTGGGACTTCCTATTGGGGGAGGCCGTATTGTTGGAGAAACAGGGTAGTGGTGGAAGGAATTTACAATTGATAGAAGAGAAAAGGATTAAATTTAAAAGTCATAAAAAAGACACAGAATGGTGAACTGAAGGGGCAGTCCTAGCTCATTGGCAAGAAAGATCACTTTAACTTTTGATCAAAAGAGTTTATCTTTGGTTCTTATTCACACAAAGCTGCAGGTAAGAACCAGTCAAATTCCATGATATTCAAGTTTGATTTTTTCATAATTATCATCTTGGCCAAGTGAATAATTTCCAGAAGGATTATTACTTACTTCTGGTCCAGTAGGTACACACTTTCGTAATTGACAGAGTTTGCTTGAAGTTTTGCCTCTTCCAGACTCCAGTCATATTTCTCTAAAGTATTTGCACGGTGTTTCACAGCATCTAGTTGGAGGAACATTTTAGCAACAAACTGGTCTGCCCTGGTGAGAAAAAAAGGCTTCTTTGGCTTAATTGTAATTAAAATAATCCCATTAACACGTTATGTCTATGCTAAAGAAGAAGTTCTGTGGTGAATTGAAAAGAAAGAGATCTGTCCTTCCAGTGCATGCCCTATATAGAAACTCTGTTTTGTAATTTAAGAATGGATGGTTGCATGATTAATGCTACCAAATTACAATACACTCTATAAGGGGAACATCGATAGAGAAGATAGATTTTCCGGAGGGTGGAGAATTCTCTTATAGTGCCCCCACTCACACACTCATGTGTACATGATTATGCGTAATCTAACATATGAAACTCATATATGAATACAGGTTGCAAATATGAAAATGTAATATAACAATCTGTATAGCAGTTGATTTGTTTACTACTTGTTATTTTCTTCTTGCTCAGTTACCACTCCCAAATCTTCATCAACTTGGCTACTTATGCAGAAGATTTGGGCAGAATCTGGCACACGGGGACTCTTTACAGGTGACATTATCTAATTTTATGCTAAAATCTCTACTTTAACCTTTGGGGAAGATGGACCTGTGGTAATCTTGTACTCTTAATCATTAAAACAATATTATTTCTCTGCTTTAGACAGTGTTAATGTGGCTTGCATAATGTCAGTGCAGTCTGACAACTAAACTTAAAAGAAGATAAATATTCATTTGCGTTTCTGCATCTGTCATTGCCAGACTAGACAATTGGCGCTATAGAATTCCCTTTCCTCACGTAGCTCAGAAAGAATGAGGAGGGAAGCGGCAATCAACTAGACCAGGGGTGTCAAACACTATTTCATTGAGGGTCACATCAGGATTGTATTTGACCTCGGGGATTGGGTGGGCATGATGGGCATGACCAGCTCGATGTCACTCATGTCGGGGCACCTGTGGTGGCCCGGGTGGGGCTTGGGGGATCCCTTGTCTCCAGTGGAGAAAGGTAAAACCAGGGAGAGCATCAAACCCTTGTCCTCCAGAGGAGCCTCACTATCCCTCTCAGGCCACATGGAGGATCTCTGGACAGTGGCGCAGGCTGTCCAGAGTCCTAGGCAGTGAAGGGCAAGTGACCAGACCAGATCTCAGGGCACCGGGACCCCACAGCCCATCCTCGCTTCCCTGAGGGGATGCCCAGTTACGCTTACTTACTCCTTGAGACTGCTGCTGCTGTTCTTTCTCTCCTTGACTAGGTTGCTCATGGTGTGTGCGGGAGGGCCAAGTGTGTGGGTTAGAGGAAGGTCCACTCCCTTTCCGTGAAGGAGACCTGGCTTTGTAACCAAAGCATCCTCAGCGATAGTATGGGGGACGATCAGGAGAGGTCAGAGGAAGAGACAAGGGGATGGTGAAAGGGCAGCAGGGCTGCTGGTGGCCCAGTGCTAAGGCAGGGGTTCCTTCAGACCCTCCCTCCATCTCATTATAATCCTCCCTCCCTTCCTTCTCCTTTCCTTCCCATCTTTCCTTTTCCTTTGTCTTTCCTCTTTCCTGTCCCATCTTGGATGCTCAAATGCAAAAGGGAAAGCATTTCTCATTTTGTTTAGTTTTGCTTTTAGTTTGTTTTGCTAGCCTTCTGCCAGCGAAAACAGCTTGGGGGGCTTGTGTAGAGCCCCTGGGCTCTGTTTTTTGCTGCGCCAACCTCCTGAGGCTTTCTGCCAGCAAAAACAGAGCTCCATTTTTTCTGGCAGAAGGCTGCAGGAGGCCGTCACAGTCAAAAAACAGCCTGTGAAGGCTTTGTGCGTCCCTCCGGAGCTTTCCCTCCATTTTCGCTGGTAGAGGTACCCCAGGCCAGCCCTTCGCTGTTTCCAGGGCAGTCCCATGGGCCAGATCTAAACACCCCACAGGCCCAAACCATGGGCCTTCAGTTTGACACCCCTGAACTATACCCTTCAGTTCACTGTATTAGCAAAAAGACAGGATAGTTTTGCATTTGGCAAGATGTATTTACTTGTCCTCTTTCTCCCTTTCCTGCACTTTCCTTCCAAAACTCATATAGGTTTTCTGCCTCGTGTTATCAAAGTGGCTCCAGCCTGCGCTATCATGATTAGCACATATGAATTTGGCAAGACCTTCTTCCAGAAAATGAACCAGGAACGGCAGTTAAATAGTCTCTGAAGCCTATAAACAGAGTTTTGGATGGTGGCCTCCAGTGGACCAAAGAAATGCGGATGGCAAGATAAAGGACACATTTTGATAGATGGGGGGGGGGCAATTTGTGAATAGGGTTGGATATAAAAGTGGATCCAGCTGTGAATAATTTTAATCAAGATTAAGAAGACCACATAACCAATAAATCTCTTGCTTGCTTTCCTTAGAGGATTTCTCATTCATCAGGCAAATTCCAGGTGCCTTTAGCTAGCTTCTGGTCTCCTGCCTTTCTCTTTTTCCTGATGGACAGCTAAGCCTCTTGGCTTTAAACCCTCTTAGGTATTGTCCAGATTGGATGCTATAACTTTTGGCTTATTTGAAGAGGAGATGCTCCAGAATATCTTAGGTTTAAGCCAATTGCATAGAATGATCTCAGAGCATTGGGATTGTTGGCCAGTTGCAAAAGGAAAAAAAAACAAGGGGGACAAAACAGCCTAGCAATTGCCATGCCCACTGCTTCATTACTATTATTATTATTATTATTATTGGTAGGTCTTCATAGAGTAAAAGTTGCTGGTAGACAGCAGATGTTTCCATCTGTTATCAAAGGTTTTATTGGCTTGCATGCTTTTTTTTTTAACCTTTTCCTGTGCATGAGAAATATAGTTGTCTGAAGTTGCAATCCTATGCTGGACTTTGACAGCTTTGAATAGAAACACTGAATTTGAACACTCAGGTTTTGCCCAGCTCTTCCCTTCATGCTGTCACAAACGGCTTGAACTCTGAAATCTTCACACTGAGTAGCATGAATGAAAATGAATTGGACTCCTGTTCTCTAGTTCAATATCTACTATATTGAAGGAGAGCTCAGAATAGCTAGTCAAGGTTTGTTTTGATGCCAGATATCATATGTAGCATCATTAGCAGTTGATAGTCTTGTCCCTTCTGTGTTGTTAATTTATGTGCCTGCTGCTTATATATTTGTAGAGGGGGGAAAGCTGAGCTTTTTATTTCTTGAATAAAATTCACCCTTTTTTAGCAAAACAGCAGTACACATTACTTGACTGTTGATATGTCTTTCTGTTGGGTTTTCCTTTCCTTGCATCCTCATTGGGTACCCTTAGATTGTATTATAAAACTCAGGTCACTGTTTTTGAGATCTCATATCTTTTGACCATGCTATTGGAATTTAGGAAGAACACTGAAGAGTATGATTTTCTGCTGTTATCTGAAATCTTGGAATGACATTGTCAAAAAAAGACAGATGATAAGTTTAAAGAACAAAATACGTTGTTGGAATTGATGTATCACCAATACAATAGTTTGATGGGTTATAGAGAATATAGTGAATCATTTTGAAATAATAAAATTTAATGAGAATGCCCTATTTCCAGTAGTTAATTACTTTTGCTTAATTTTTCTTAATACTTTTCTGTTTCCTTACCCCATAAGGGAATAGCATTATTTTTAAAAATCAGGGAAAGTCATCCATCTCAATTCAGTGATGATAAAACCGTGTTCCCTGTACTCTATATCAGGGGTCACCAAACTTTTGGACCTCAGGGACCACCAAATTCCTAATTTTAGATCCCAGGGACCACTACCGGTTCTGTGGGCGTGACATAATTTGTGGATGTGGCTTGGTGGTTGTGTGACTGGCTGGACATGGCTTGTGTGTAAATATTATAAATATTTATATAAATATTGAATTTTTTATAAAAAGCAACTTTTACCCAAAATCAGGCAAAGCAGGCAGGCAAATTGAGTTGCTCACAGAATCACAGATTCATTCAGAAATCTATCTATCTGCCATTGGCTAGCTCAATCTGTCACATAAATTTTGATTGCAAGCAAACTCATAAAATTTGCTAGCAAGCTAACTCACAAAATTAACGCACAACACACCATGTATGTAAATATTGAATTTTTTTATTAAAGCAATTTTACCCAAAATCAGGCAAAGCAGGCAGATTGAGTTGCTCATAGAATCATCTATCTATCTGCCATCAGCTAGCTCAATCTCTCAAATTTGCTTGCCGTGAGTCTGCACTGAATTTGCTTGCAAGCAAACCTTCAGTCCTAAGGGAAGCAGACCTGAAGATCTAAAGACTAGCTAGAAAGCAAGAAATCCTACCATTTCCTGCTTCCTAGCTAATCTAAATCTCCCAGCAAAGCAGAACAGATGATGGTTGGAAAAAGGAAAAATAGCAATTTTAGCAGGCAAGTTTGCCAGGTAAGGAGTGAGTGGGCGGGGAGCATTCCTGTGGGCCATGTGGACAGTGCAGCCTTGTGTTTCTGTGCAGCCTGGATTAATTGCTTTGGGAGGGTGCTCTGGGAGTGAGATTTCTCTGCAGTCCACCAACATTTTCTCAAGGCCCAAAAAAATGGCACACACACAATGGTGACCAAAAAAATGGCACACACACTGCCATGAGGCCTCTGGCAACAAAAAGTATGTCCATCCTAGTTTAAGGTATTATATAAAAATCTTTAAATTCCTATCTAGTGAGAATTGTCATGATTAGAGGGATGCATTTGATTCCTAAATAAAATGTTGAGTGTTGTTATTCTTTTTGTTTCACTCTAGCATGCTGATTCACTAGATTTACCCATAAATATATTTTATTGTATGAACAAAGAGAGGAAACTTGGTTTCAATGGATGAGTTTGCAAAGCATGGTACACCAGGCTAAATAGGAGTTTTCTTCAATATAAGATGTAAACTCAACTGTCGTGTCAGTGTATTGGGTAAATGAGGCCACAATGTGATTTCTTTTTGTCTTTGTGAACAAGTTTAGTATATTATGTGTATGTAGATCACATGTCTTTGCAATATCAGCAGTAAATCATTAGATCTCTAATAATGTTGTTTCAGCAAACTGAAATATGACCTTCCTTTTCACCAGCATGCAAGCTGTTAAAATTTTGAGCAGCCCAAATACAACAGTTACTGCACATGAAGCCAGTAGATTGAGGCCATTGGCATGATAGGAATGCAAAGAAACGGATATAGCATTATTAATATATTAGAAGATAAAAGAGAATGTAAATAAGAAATGTTTAAGTGTAAAATATATAGTTGACAAGGAAGAAATTATTTTGAATGGATCTAACTTTCTGTTGCTCATATAGTTCATATTTTCCAGATGGGAGAATCTGATGGTGGATAATTCGGAATATGATACAATACATTCCTTTTGGCTTCTGTATGGCTTCCTTTACTCTTAAACATTTTAATGACTTTTTCCCCCACCCAATAAGCAGATCACTATTGCTGAGCCATGAACATTTCTTTTAATCCAGTTTTGGTTTTGAGAGCTGGTGGTATATATTGGCTAAGACCAAAAGATAGACCCTAGTATGAGTTGAATTTATTTTTTTAACAGCCATAGGAAATCTTATATGGCAAGGTGATCACAGTATTGCTGCTCCTGTCGTAAATCAGAAGATTTACATAGTCTAATACTGGGAAATGTTGCACTGGGATAAGGTTCTCTTAAATAACCTTGGCAGCGACGAGAAACTATTGAGTTTCATGCAACCACCCTCAGCTTATCAATTGGTCTTGAGCAATTCCCCATTCTTTCAGCCATATGCAGACAATAGCTTATGAGAAAATGTGTGATGCTAAAATAGCAGAGTCTACCTGATTCAGTGGAGTAGGGTTCTAAACATTCACAAACCGTAACTAGCAACATAGGCTAAATTTGCAGTGCTCATAAGCACAGCTAGTTTCTCTCTCAGTATCCTAAATGGAAGAAGTGTGAATTCTCTCACCACCCACATAGACTTACCAAAGGTTTTCAGCTTTGGTTTTGGAATTTTGACAATACTGACATTATTACAAGGTTATGGGAAGAAGCTCTTCCCTTTTGTGTTACACATAACCATTAAAATGTGTTTACTTGGAGGGAAGAATGGGAAGACTAAGTGGCTTGTCCAGTTCTTGACACAATTGGTTACTGTTGAAATTGTTAGCGATTGCAGAATTTAAAAAACCCAGCCTGAACTTGTTACCAGAAAATAAGCATCAGTAAACATTGTCTGCCAGCTCCTTAATTTGATTTAATATCTGTTCTAACAATCTCACTAGGTGGTACCAGTCAGTTTCTCAGTTCTGGCCAGTGATGATCTTTATTTATCCTGGAGTAGATTCTTGTGTTTGTCTTGTTGCTTCAGAACTATGGCACAGATCAAAAGTCAAGATATAAATATTGGTTCTTCAACTTGCAATGTTCTGTTCCTATAGCAGAAATTTTCAGTGGGATAGCAACATGCAGGAGAAACATGTTGAAAGTAGACTCATTCAAGAGTGGCAGGACCAAGGAAGACACAGAAATGATTCTTGTGCTGCAAAGTTATTCCAGAATTTGAAGCTGCCTTGAATCCCCTTTCTGTAATACGATTAACCAAAACAGATCCTGCAGTTGTCTTTGGAGTGCGGCAGTGGGCTTAAGAAGGGTAACAAATTATCTCCCTTCCCACAACTATGTCTTAAAATGCTGTTTTCAGGAACACAACCACAGAGCATTCACTTCAATGAAAGGGGACAGATACAGGACCAGGCAATTTCCTTGTCCATTGTGCAAATCTTCACATTGAACGATGTGCAGCAGATTTCAACTTGTACAGATCTTTCTGCCTCTGGCAATAGATATTCAGAGGATTTTTTCTTAAATGTTGTTTTGCAGAGGCAGCCACCTTTTGGCAATCTCAACCATATATAATATACATTACATATATACAGCATCATGTTACAAAAGCGCTTTTTGTGGACAATCCTTCCATTTTCTGATAAAGGGGATGGGTTTTTTTTCCTCTGCTCCCAATTTAAGGAAAAATATCTGGGTTTCTAAGAATATTTTGATGAGGAAGCAGACACATTGCCCTTTTGCATCAAGCTGGATAAATGGTTCAGTTGCCCTCCCCACCTACTGAAATCAAGCCAAAGGGGCTTGACTCAATAAGATTTGTCCACCCAAAATCTCCTTCATAGACGTTTTTAAGGTTTATGAGAATAGCCTGCCACTGTCTCAGCTTGGACTATGAGCAGGGCTAGGCTCCGTGCTGTCGCTCACCAGACACTCGTTGGATTTTAGGCTAGCTAAAGACTTGCAGCTAGGCAGAGAGGCCAAAGATCCACAGAGGCCCAACATTGATGGAGTTGGATCCTTTCCTGCAGAAAGAAGAGAGGGAGGGCTTTACAATGAGTGTAGACCACCTCTGAGAACATGACTGGCTCATACTCCCAACAAGGCATACAGCCAGATTAAAAACAACTAAACTTTCCTTTGTGTTGAATTTCTACTTTGGCTTATAAAAGAAATCTATTGATTTGAAGAGTCTGGGGCCGTCTACGGCAGGCATTAGTGCCATTTTCAATAATTTTCTAATAAATTATTAATAATTCATCAATAAAAGTTCATTAACTTAATTGAAAGATTAAAAACTTAGAGCTTAATCCAAAAACCAGCAGTTGTAATTGAAAAATTAATTACATATTTGTCTTAGAGAGACAGAAAGCTGGCATTGCATAAAATGTTACTTGAATAGTATCCCTAAAATGAGAAGACAGAATACAAAACAGAATTATGATCCTGCAGAGAAGCCAGTCTTCTGTGTTATTGTCACGAGTGTGCCTTTTGATTGAGAAAAAACAAATTTTAAGACAAAATATAAAAGGCTACTGAATTCTAATATATTCAGGGTAATTTGAACCAAATTACATAATATACACTGCTCAAAAAAATAAAGGGAACACTTAAACAACACAATGTAACTCCAAGTCAATCACACTTCTGTGAAATCAACCTGTCCACTTAGGTAGTAACACTGATTGACAATCAATTTCACATGCTGTTGTGCAAATGGAATAAACAACAGGTGGAAAGCATAGGCAGTTAGCAAGACATCCCCAATAAAGGAGTGGTTCTGCAGGTGGTGACCACAGACCACTTCTCAGTTCCTATGCTTTCGGGCTGATGGTTTGGTCACTTTTGAATGCTGGTGGTGCTTTCACTCTAGTGGTAGCATGAGACGGAGTCTACAACCCACACAAGTGACTCAGTAATGCAGTTCATCCAGGATGGCATATCAATGCGAGCTGTGGCAAGAAGGTTTGCTGTGTCTGTCAGCGTAGTGTCCAGAGCATGGAGGCACTACCAGGAGACAGGCCAGTACATCAGGAGACGTGGAGGAGGCCGTAGGAGGGCAACAACCCAGCATCAGGACCGCTACTTCCGCCTTTGTGCAAGGAGGGACAGGAGCACTGCCAGAGCACTGCAAAATGACCTCCAGCGGGCCACAAATGTGCATGTGGCTGCTCAAACGGTCAGAAACAGACTCCATGAGGGTGGTATGAGGACCCGACGTCCATAGGTGGGGGTTGTGCTTACAGCCTAACACCGTGCAGGACGTTTGGCATTTGCCAGAGAACACCAAGATTGGCAAATTCGCCACTGGCGCCCTGTGCTTTTCACAGATGAAAGGTTCACACTGAGCACATGTGACAGATGTGACAGGGTCTAGAGACGCCGTGGAGAACGTTCTGCTGCCTGCAACATCCTCCAGCATGACCGGTTTGGCAGTGGGTCAGTAATGGTGTGGGGTGGCATTTCTTTAGGGGGCTGCACAGTCCTCCATGTGTTTGCCAGAGGTAGCCTGGCTGCCATTAGGTACCGAGATGAGATCCTCAGACCCCTTGTGAGACCATATGCTGGTGCGGTTGGCCCTGGGTTCCTCCTAATGCATGACAATGCTAGACCTCATGTGGCTGGAGTGTGTCAGCAGTTCTTGCAAGACGAAGGCATTGATGCTATGGACTGGCCCGCTTGTTCCCCAGACCTGAATCCAATTGAGCACATCTGGGACATCATGTCTCGCTCCATCCATCAACACCACGTTGTACCACAGACTGTCCAGGAGTTGCGGGGTGCTTTAGTCCAGGTGTGGGAGGAGATCACTCAGGAGACCATCTGCCATCAGGCATTGTAGGGAGGTCAGACAGGCACGTGGAGGCCACACACACTACTGAGCTTCATTTTGACTTGTTTTAAGGACATTACTTCAAAGTTGGATCAGCCTGTAGTGTTTTTTTTCCACTTTAATTTTGAGTGTAACTCCAAATCCAGACCTCCATGGGTTGTTAAATTTGATTTCCATTGATAATTTTTGTGTGAGTTTGTTGTCAGCACATTCAACTATGTAATGAACAAAGTATTTAATAAGAATATTTCATTCATTCAGATCTAGGATGTCTTATTTTTGTGTTCCCTTTATTTTTTTGAGCAGTGTATATTGGAAAGTCAGCTGGAACAAGGCAAACCTAGAGGGAGATGGAACAACAAAGGATATTTTTGCTTTATTTCTAAATGTGAAGTCACTGAAAACTAGACAATGCTTGATGGAAAATAGAACTTACGGTTTGTGAGAAGCCACTGTTATTAATTATTGGAATTATTTCTTAAAACTAATAACTATTTTGGACACTCTGCCCAGAAAGCAGGCTAGGAAGAGTGATTTCATAATCTCAGAAAACTTGATTTTAGCCAAGAATCTCTTGTGTAAGATACTTACCTTTGAAAATATTAATTATGGGACTTAATTATTTTCAGAATTGTCTGATCAGGGAGATCAGGGAGCCTATAAAGTGGGAGCCAGCATTCACATATGTAGAGAGGAAAAGAAAATGTGAAAAGCAAAGAGCATAAAAGCTGTGGCACATCTTTCTTTCTTTTTTTAGAGTAAACCCTTTTGGAGTTAACATACTAAACCACAGATGGTTGAGCGGGACAATATGGTTGGGTTCGGAAAACCTTAAACCAAATGAAATGACACAAGGGCTGAGTGATGTACAACACCAATGACAACTATTTCCCAAGACCATGCAAACTCTTACCTAGTGGCCCCCAAGGTTCCCCTTCATGTTTCCCTTCACACATCCGTTGTGAATCAGAACTCAAACTTATTTCTGTGGAGAGTTGATCTGTGCTCATGAAGCTGTGCCTGCAAAAAGGGGGAAAAAGAATTAGGAGACGTCTCTGAACTAAATCCCAGAATGTGTACATTCTGATAAGGCAGTAGTCTGATGATAACTATTGAGATCTGCCAGTTTCTCTGTCCTACTTCATTTAAAATAGACATATAAATGTGTGTGTTTGTGTGTGTGTGTGAATGTATGTATGTCCAGGGGAAAAAAAGGTGAATGTCAAGAGGGCATCCTGCAAATATCTTCATTTTGATTTTTTTTCAATAGGTGGTTTATAATTGATCTTGGTCATGCCCATCACATGAACCATGTTTAAAGGGCTCATAACTTGGTCTCATAATTCCAAAGGCACCCTTTGGAAAGACTTTAGCAGGCTGCCAGAAAAATACCCCATGGCTGTATAATTCTGGTGTGTACAGGAGGCACATCTTAAAACAAGGCAATCTATGTAGCTACTGAAGTCAGATAGTCTGCTTTTCAGGCAGAATTTCAATGATTTTTTTTAGCCACAATGCAACTATGGTTTGTAATTGCTCGCCTCTGGCATGTTTTATTTCTTCCCCATTTAGCATATAACCTAGGATTTATAGATTATTTCATCCAAATATTAATATAGCTCAAATTTGTTTTGCTTATTTGTTTTCAATTCAGATATGGCTGGCTAGGTGTCACCATTTTCTCTGGATAATCCTTGAATATTGTTCTCCATTGATTCCCTTCTTTTTATTCTTGAAATTACCTTTCTTTTGCTCAGCCAATTCTAATATTGAGTGGTTACAAAATTTTGTCAATGGAGAATAATTCATACTAATTTAAAGTCAAGACAGCAAACAAGCTTGGTGTTTTTGTAGCATCTATAGACAGTGTAGGAACTTTTGTGCCTATTTCTTCATGTGTCAGGATTGCCAAAAGAAACCTGTTTCTATGGATAAAAAGTTTCCTAGATAATGAATGCACACTCTAAATTAGGTGGTGACCTTAATATTTTTCCAAAAACATCAAAGTTTGATGCTTTCATTCTGAAAAAGAATGTCCTTCCTTTGTTTAAAAACAGATTGGCTATTTTAGTAAGACAAATTGAAACCAGAGAAAAGTTAGAAGGGATTTATTATGATTCAACTATTTGCTTAAGTTGACCCAGACTGAGCAAATAGAGAATTAGATTTGGAACAAAGATAGGCAATATTTTAGTGGGAAAATGCTACACAAGTTCTGAGGCATGTGAAGGGATGTGATAAGCAAGTCAGTGATGAAAACAGAAATTAGGAAAGATTAAATTATTTTCCATGAATTTTAGACACACTGAAAAGTGTAGAACTTATTTCTTGTCTTGAAATGGAGGAAACATGCACCACAGATTTTCAGCAACTTCAGTGCTGAAGATGCAAGAGATCTTATAGAAAAAGTTACATCATTCAGAATACACACTGACCTCCTGAATATCTTGGCTTCTGCATGGCTTTCATTACTGTTCAGAGTACCCAAAGAGGGCCACTGGTTCACCAAAGGTGCAGCCATCTCCTTGGAGAGTTGGGTAAACTGGCTGTTGTCTGAAGGAACGAGGCCCGTCCTGAGGGCAGAGCAGGAGGAGGGAAATCTGATTGAGGAGGAGGGAATGCAACCTATCAGCTCAAAGCAAGGAACCAGAGAAAAGCACTGTGTCCATCCTCCCACTTGACTCAGAATCTAGTTTTAACAAATCTGAGATCCCCACCTCACAGGACAAGGGGAAATGGATTCCATTTGGGCCTGTTTATTACTGGCAAAGAGAGTATGTGGGGTTGGATCCTACTTACAGCTGCTCCTGCAGTTCCAGGATGATCCCTTCCAACTCCCGTTTCTCTAACTGATTCTGCACCGTCACCTCTTCCAGCCTTAACTTCAGACGTTTGTTCTCTGCCTCCAGATCCTTGAGTTGTGACTCTCTCAACCGAACTAGCTCTTCTAGATAGCCCTGGGACACAACAAATTAAGGGGGAAAGGAAAAAATTAATTCCTATTCAGTAATATAATAAAATTGCCATAAAATTAATAGATTATTGGAGTAAACTCTGCAAAAACAGCCAATAAAGAAGACTTTAAAAATGACTCTTGTCCATGAACTGCTAACCTCTTTTTTAGACTACTGACTTAATAACCTTCAAAAGTTGTTTCAGGACTAAATTCCCCAGCATACCAAAACTAGTAGTATAAGCAAGTCTTTAGAAAGCAGATTAAACCAAAATATTGCACCAAAACTTTTTAAGGTAATCCTTAAAAAGGACATTTCAAAGTTTAGGTGACCACAATGCAGAAGATGTGGTTCTCAGTTGTGTTTTTGACAAAGGGAAGCATAAAGAAGGGCTTCTGGGGGATTTATTTAGCATGTAATCCAAAATTAGTTATGAAATGATTTAAAGCCTGGCAAAAAGTATTTTGTGGAGTTAATTATAATCAAAGCTTTAGAACAGCCTTCCCTAACCTGTTCTTTGGGTGTATTCCTTGGTGGGAGGGAGGGGAGGAGGAGGAGGAGGAGGAAATCAAACATATATTAAGAATTATCTGGTAAGGTAAATATATAATTCAATTATACTTTAATTAATTCCTGAATTGGTTACATATTCTGAACAGATAACTATTTTAATCTATTGCAAATTATCCCATAATCTGATGACTTCCAATTATTTTGGGCTACAACTTTTATATCACCAAACACTCCCATAATCCAATACATTTTAAGTCACCAATTTAGAGGAACCTCAGCATCTGATTTTTCTTCATGGGAAATTTCTTCCCCAATACAAGTAACACAAGAGCGAAGATTTTCCATATGGTGCAGCCATGTAGAAATCCCTCCCCGTGTCTACTCTGCATCCATTAGCTCTTTCCCATGGAAGTTTTATTTTAGACCTATCAAATTCTCAGAGCCTCCTGGAAAATCTTTCTTTGGTTTTGTTTTCTTTGTTTTTTAATTTCAAAAACAGCTGGTTTTAGAAGTCCTGTGGATTACAGGAGGTGCTCCTTTATGTCAATTTTCTCTCTCTAAGGCTGAAGCACTATTTCTAAATCTCGCTGTATTTTCAGATGTGCAACCATGAATATTTCAATGCCTTTTGAGACATCTTTTATGCCAGGTGTGGATTTGACCCTCGAGCTCATGCTTGAATTCCAGGTACCTTTTGTGCATAGACGATGCGAAACTTCTGCTCTATCTTGCGCCATTTAATGTACCAGCTGTCTTCTGCAGTCACTAATGGTAAGTAAGGGTGGTCAGGAGAGCTCTCTTCACTGGTACTGCTCTCCAGGCTGTGCCGGTCCTCTTCATCACTTAGGTAATCATAACTAGAGAGATTAAAGTTTACTGCAAAAAAGCGACTGAAATGGGATGCACAATTGCATGCTAGAGTCTTCCATTTACATATAAATAAATAAATAAATGCTCTGTCTTGCATATTGGCAAAAAAAAATCAGAAAATAAAATACAAGCTGAATAGTCAAGACCTTGTTGATGATCCAAGCTCTGTAAAGGACCTTGGAATACTCATCTCTAATGATCTAAGCCCACTGTAACTACATAGCCAAAAAAGGCATTAAGAGTTGTTAACCTAATCCTACGTAGCTTTTTCTTCGGTAATATCACAAAACATACAAAACATAGAGCATACAAAACATTTGCTAGACCAATACTTGAATACAGCTCATCAGTCTGGAACCCACATTACGTTATCTGATATTAACACAGTTAAGAAAGTCCAGAAATATTTCACAAGAAGAGTTCTCCACCCCTCTACTCGTTGCAGAATACCTTATGCCACTAGACTTGAAATTCTAGACCTAGAAAACCTAGAACTACGCCATTTTCAGTCCGATCTAAGTATTAGTATATAAAATCATACATTGCAATGTCCTACAAATACTTCAGCTTCAACCATAACAATACAAGAGCAAACTATAGATACAAACTCAAGGTTAACCGCACCAAACTTGATTGCAGGAAATACGACTTCAGCAACAGAGAGTGGTCAATGTCTGGGATACTCTACCTGACTCTGTGGTTTCTTCCACAAACCCCAACAACTTTAACCTTAAACTGTCTACTATTGACCTCACCCCTTTCCTTAGAGGTCTGTAGGGGGTGTGCATAAGCGCACCAACGTGCCTACCATCCCTGTCCTATTGTTTTTTTATTTTTCTTAGATGTATTTATTTCTTGTATTCACAACTATGTTTATCCTTATACCTATTATCTTGTAAGCGATTGACAAACAAACAAACAAACAAATAAATAAATAAATAAATAAATAAATAAATAAATAAATAAATAAATAAATAAATAAATAAATAAATTTCCATCTCAAGTTTACAGACAGCAGCACTATATTTTAGTGATCCTAATAAGAATGGCTTCAGGAGTTTCTACAGGTCCTTTCAAAGAATATATTGCGTACCTGTCCTAAAACCGGTAGATATATCTAATCATTTCAGGTCCCAAGAATACCATTCTGAAAACTTCCATTAAAAAAAAATAACCTACAAAAAGAATGTTAATGCATCTACCTATTCTGCTATTTCATGGGAAGGGTTTTGTTTTTGTTGTTTTGTTAATATGCAGGGGCATTCATAATTTGTTCCCTGTCATCCTATGCAAATTTATGATCAGAAGAGATACAATTAATTTTGCCATCAGGATTTCCGATGATGATGATGATGATGACCCAATCTGTGTTACATGTGGAGCCAGTTTAGAATGTGTTCTTACTTTTTTTTTCCTCTGGGAGGCATATCTTGAACTCTGTTCAGAGCTTACACTACTAGACTTGGAGAACCTTCTGCAATCCAGGTCTATAGCCCAATTCTATGACACAAGGCAACATTAGGAAAACCCATTACCTCTGTGTGAACTTCAGATATGGAGTATAGTCGATAACCACTGGTGTCTTACCATCCATAATTTCCCCTTTGAGGCAGAAACTGTAAAACAAATCAAGATTGGATTTAGTTATTTAAAAATCCCTCTCTTTGGAGCACCTACCATAGATAGTTTAGGGCAAGTATCACAGTTCTAATATCAGCTGGGCACTATCACAATATTTTTTATTTGATTTAATGTGCAAAGGCAATCAAACATAGTTCATTCAATAGGTATATCATGGAAGATATAATACTTACCCAAAATAACAGTGCTTATCCAGACAAATTTTTAAAAAATAGGGCATCAATGTACCTGAAGTCTATAGCACTAAGCCCAATCAGCATTCCTGTAAGGACAGTTGATTCTTCTCGCAGCATGATTGCTCCATCGTCATAAAATCTCCTATAGAGGGAGAGGTGAAGAAAGAGAGACATTGTTGATTAAATAGGGGCAAATGTGGAAAAAAAATATGGGAGTCATGAGAACAACTCCCATATCTTTTTTCCACATTTGCCCTTATTTAATAGTCATGTTGAAGACTACTTGTATTAGAACAGTGGGAGATATGACATCTCCCACTGTTCTGTTACATGTAGTCTTTGACTTATGACCACAACTGAGCCCAAAATTTCTCTGCAAAGTGTGACACGTTAAGTGAATTTTGACCCATTTTATGACTTCTTGCCTCAGAGGTTAAGTGAGTGCAGTTGTTAAATTAGTAATGTGGTTGTTAAGTGAATATGGCTTCCCCATTGACTTTGCTTGCCGAAAGTTTGCAAAATGGGATCACATGACCCCAGGACACTGCAACCATCATAAATATGAATCATATTTATTCATAAATATGAATAAATATGGTTCATAAATATGAACCAACATCTGAATTTTGATCATGTGACCATGGGGATGCTGCAATGGTTTGAAAAGTTTGAAAAATGGACATAAGTGTCAACTTGCAAAGCATCCCCGAACTGCTCTCAAATTGCCATGGGCAAAGGAGATGGGAGAGCAAACTTCACTGCTGCCTTAAGAAGCTGATATCTCAGTTAAAACAAGGCACATTCCACTCAAATCTCCAAGCCTGTCTCCATGGGAACCTACAGTGGTCAGAACTTTTACAACCCGTGAAATTGCTTTATTGGGGAATAGGACTGATGACACATATTGGGTGGAGGGGGAAACAGAGTCAGAGGCAAAGTGCCAGTCCGTGCCAGCATAAAACTCCTAATAAATGACTGGATTTCTTTTTAAACTTGGCTTGAGACTCATGATTTAATTAGGGCATCTGTCGGAACCCTGACAGTGAGCCAACTCTGACTTTAGTTAATTTGCACTTTGCCTCTGACCCATTTTCCTCCCCCCCCCCAATATGTGTCATCAGTCACATTTCCCAATGATTCAATTTAACAGGTTGTGAAATTCCATCCGGACCACTGTGGGTTCCCACAGAGACAGCCTAGGATATTTGGGCGGAATGTGCCTTGTTTTGACTGAGATATCCTTTCTACAAAATACTTGAGGTTAAAATTCCCCAGTAAGAAGCTGAGACCCAAGTTCATGGGGCCATTCTCCATAGTGAAGATCATCAACTGGTGACGATGCAATTAAAATTGCCCCAATTTCTGGGGAACATACACCTGGTATTCCAGAGCAGCCTCTTAAAACCCATAGTTGGTCAATTGAGACCGCTACCCCATGAGCCCCTGGACCGAGTAGTCATAGGGGGACAAACCCATTATGAGGTGCAATGAATCCTCAACTTGAGATGGCACAGGATACAGCTCCAGTATTTAATCAAGTGGGGGGGGGGTTATCCCTTAGCAGAGGCATCTTGGGTAAAGAGTAGAAACATTCAAGCTGACCACCTCATAGCTAAATTCCATGCAGACAATCCAAATAAGCCTGGAGGGAATCACAACCCTAAAATCTATATCTGTACTCAAATTGTTTTTGCTTTGTACAGGTCACCTTCACAAAGCATCCCTGAACTGCTCTCGAGTTGCCATAGGAAAGGGGGATGGGAGAGCGAATTTCGCTGCTGCCTTAAGGAGCTAATATCTCAGTCAAAACAAGTCACATTCCACCCAAATCTCCAAGGCCATCTCTATGGTAACTCACAGTGGCCAGAGGGAGGGACTTTTATAACCTGCGAAATTGCTTCATTGGGAAATGTGATTGATCATACAAACTTGGGGGAGGAGGAAACAGGGTCAGAGGCAAAGTGCAAATTAACTGCAGTGAGAGTTGGCTCCACCTGGTCCATGCCGGCATGAAGCTCCTAATAAATAACTGGATTTTTGTTTTTAAGCTTGGCTTGAGACTCATGGTTTAATTAGGGCACCTATCGGAATCCTGACAGCAAGTCACTTTTTTCAGTGTCATGGTAACTTTGAAAGGTCATTAAATGAACTGTTGTGAGTCAAAGACTATCTGCATTACAAACATAAAAAAAAATGTACATTTACACACTTCACCCTTAGAGTAGAATGGAATATATACAATGCACATAGATAATATAAGGCCATCCCATATCAAAACTATTTATAAAATATTACTTTATTGAAATAATGCCTGCCATTGCATCCATCTTTCTTTTTACAGGAAACGTTTGACAACTCTTGCTTACTTTTGTTCTTTTTCTGGACAGTTGGGCACTTTTTAACCAACTCCCTTAGCCACAGCAGCCCACTACTTTATATTTCAAGAAAAAACTATATGGGGCTCTATTTGGGTTCCCAAACATATTCTTAAAAATTAAACCAAAAGCAGATGCTTTCCTTTGCAGCCTGCCAACTACAATAAGAAAACTAAAAACATCAAAATATCAAAACTTAGATTGGATAGGAGCTTGAAAGATACCAAAAGGGGTTTACAGGCTCATTGGCCTCCTCAAGTCCATCCTCCAGGCAGGATCAAGATACCTCTAAGCCAGGAGTGTCAAATTGGCAGCCTACGAGCCAGATGTATCACACACAGGCCATGCTCACTCCGGCTCCTCAGAGGAAAAAATATCGCGATACAATTGAGTTTGACATCTGTGCTCTAAGCCATTCAAAAATGCTGGTGTATATAATACATTTAGACCCAAAGAAACCTACTTAGTCAACAGTTTGAACATGACATTTTTGCATCGTAGAGGCAGCACATTAGGCACAGCTTTTTCTGTATATGAGGTCAGTATCAAGCAATTAAAAAACTGGGCCAGTGCCAAATATTGCACTATAAGAGCCTCTTTCCCATTTAGGCTTAGAATTTAAAATGCACAGATTTGCAGAAAGAGTTGAAAGTAATTGCCTTGCACTTGCAGAATACAAGTTCATTTATGGCTACTATATACTGAAAAACAACAGAAAAATAACAGTAAAGTCATTATATACCCAGAACAAGATTTCCAAACTGGACTCCACTTTTTGAGATTCTGAAATGTCTAAGTACATGCATGTAAGTTTACACTGTGTTTATATTTATGAGCTCGGGACAGCTTTTTCCTTCCTATTAGTATTTGGTAGGATTTGTGGGCCTATATGAGCTCCTTCAAATAGTTGTAATTTTGGTTGGGAAAATAACTAGGGAATTGGTCTCCAGACCTACTTGATCAGAGAAAATGGAGCAAAAGAAAAGGGGGTTACTATTTGGTGCAAGCACAGATGTTCTTACCTGGTTGTTCTAGTATCCCGAAGTGCTGTAGCAATATACTCAGACATGCGCTTCTCCATCAGAGCCACACGAATCCATGCCCGGCCCTAAAACAGAAAGTTTGCTAGAACAAGCAGCACTACAAAAAATTTTCCTTGTAAATGTACAGGAACTAACTCAACACAAGATTCTGGCCAATGCTGAAAAAGATTTATATCTAGTTCAACCTGAATCTGTACACAAAGTAAAGATAGCCAGGAAAAATCTAAGGAAAGCTGAATGACAGCCAAGTGAAGGTTCCCATTGTGACATTAATTTAATCCACTGCTGTTTCCTAATATTATTCCTTTTAAAAGTCAGTATGTCTCACCCTCTCCAAAGATTTTGCCTTACAGATTGTCCTCAACTTATGACCATTTGTTTAATGGCTATTGAAAGTTACAGTGGTGCTGAAAGATGTCAGTTACAACTGATTTCATGCATCCTCACAGTCAGCATCTTCACAGTCACATGATCAAAATTTGGGCACTTGGCAACTTGCACACACACACACACTCACACACACACTGGTATCAGTGTCATGAAGTCATTGCCATTTATGACATTCCAAATGGGCGTTCTGACAAGCAAAATCAACCATAGCAAAAGTGGTCATAAAATTGGATGCAACTCACTTAATGATTATATTGCTTAGCAACGGAAAGTTTGATCCCATTTGTCATAAATAATTGTAACTCTCCCGCTTTTATAAAACTGAATTTCTGACAAGTTATATTTAAGACGATAGGGTCTCCTCTTCTCTCTCTCTCTCTCCTCTCTCTCTCCTCCTCCAACTCAGCTTTTTCTCAAATGGCCCTCAAATGGCTGGAAATAAATTTCAGAAAGCCATGGCTCCTCTCCATCATTTCCTCAGAGTATAGGTATGCAGACTGACTTCACAATGAAATCAGCTGACCTCTCTTCCCTCCGGAATGGGGTTTCACAGAATTAACTCCCTTTGAGTTAAAAGTTTTGGAAAGACGAAGAAGGAAATCCAGTCCAGGACCTCACTACATGCCCACTCAGAAATAAGACTGAGAACAAATAGGATTGAGAGGGTGGGAAAGGAGATCTCTCCGTTCTCAGCCACCTACTGTTTTAGCAGGGAATGTAGGAAAAGAGAACAAATGGGTTCCTCTTTCTTGATCTGGTGATTTTTGGGTGGGCCTTTTGTTCTCTTCCCACATGCAATGCCTGATGTGTGGGACCAGGAGGCTCTGCAACATACAAATAGGCCCTTTTATCTTTCTGTTGTTGAGTTGCAGTAGAGCCAACATGTTTGCTCCTCAGTGTGGCCTAAGAGGAAAGAAACATAGAGACTCAATTCACCCCATTTAAAAAAAATAATGAAAGTGCCCGAGGCTGTCATGGGGATGGGGGTGGGAGTGGTATTTATGTGTATGTCAACAACAGTCAAAACATCCACAAGATGGATGTAGCACAATTAAGGCCCTGCGACTGTAGTGTTTTGATCCTGGGCATGGGATGACAATAATCATGTTGACTTTTCCTACCTCCCAGCATACGTTTACGAGTGTCAATGTGCCATGCTGGAGGATGTCCTAGATAGAAATCTCAATTATGACAAAACATTTAAGCCTTAATCTTTTACGTCCATTTTCTTACAACAGGACATTGTAGCTCTGGCATAAATAAATATAAATGATAAAGAACTCATACAAAGTATTAATGATTGCCTTACTATTTCTGCCTTTGCTGGAAGCAGATTCTTTATCAGTTCTCCATATCAAAACAACTAGTTAATCCCACAGTATAGACATCATTCTCAGAAAAGATGCTGCTCACCAAATCTCTGTTTCCAGATGCAATGTGTGTCCAAATCAATGACTCATGGGGAATCTGAAGCCATGATTTTCATCAAGGGGAGATAATTCACACACACTGTTTCTGTTGGCCACAAGTAGCCAACAGAAACAGATAGAAATTCAGGAAACTCACCTCAAAGATAGTTGATAAGTCACTGTAGACTTAACAGACAAATTCAAATAAAACAATGAGTTATTAAAATTAATAAAAAATAAATGTTATCTTTGATTTGAAAAGTGAGCTACTTAACTCTGAATCTTAAACTTAATTAGTAATCAAGAGTGAGAAATTCAACCATTGAAGTTTGTATTTAGTAATAATGAGGATCAAATAAGTGTGATGGAAAATTAAATAAGAGATAAAAGCTTCCCATAATTCATCCATTGGGAAGCAGTACAGGTCTAAATTAATTAAAGACAAAATCCCTTTGACGTGATTTTTACCTGTTTAAAAGATTCTTTCCAGCTATCTTTATCGTATAATGCAGATTCACGTCAAATTCAGGTATATGAAATAATGTGGACAACAGAATTCCTTTCTAAATGTTTAATTATAGCTATTCCTCAGACAAAAAACTACCACAAACTGAACATTGTCAAATGATTTAGAAAAGTAGGACTAACATCAAATTGGATTAACATAAGAGAAGATAATGTGTCCAACTTTTGAAAGAAATTAGAGTACTTTTCATGTTTGAATATTTCCATTAACCATGTAGTTCTTTCAGTTTTGTGAAACACAATGTATACCAACAATATCAACTACCAAATTTTGCTACATCCTGGAGCAATGTAGCATAGATAAATGCTTGAGTTTTAAAAACCATTTTTAGAAGTCGTATTACTTTTCTTTCTGCTTCTGCTATCTGCATATATAGTCAGATGCACAGCTGCAGGGAAGGTAAGCTGGGTTATGGGCGGGCCCAAAGAATTTTGTCAAGTGAGGTAAAAGTCAAGATGCTTTCCAACACCATCCCACATATAGAAATAAACTGGCAATTGAATAGCAACCTCCATAGTATCAAAAGGCCATATGTTAGGAGGTAGGGTAGGCTGTGTAGCACAAACAGCTCTGTCTTCATATACCTGGCTGTCATTCACAGCCCCCAGCATCTATCATCTGAAGTGGCCACTTAGCTATATGTAATGGCAGTGTCGGCCCAACAGGGCTTCCCTCAGTCCCTGAGATCTTCTGACCTTAGCCCTGGAGGAGCTTATGTTTTCCATGTTTTCAATACTACTGACGCAGTTATTTGGGACTTTGTTGCATGCCAGGCGGATGTAATCCCAGAAGCCACGTTGTCCATCAGAGCTAAACCAACTGGCAGGACCTAGGAGGAAGCAGGGAGGGAAGGAGGGGAAAGACTTGTAGTGTAGTGCAGACAATACTGATCAATAATGAATGGCTGTCTATTAGCTGCTACTTGCTAAGGAGTCTAATCTTAAATCTATCATAGACGCATATTAACATATTTATGTATATACATTGCTTCTTCATCCCTAGTGTATTAAAACTTTTTATATCTAGTCTAGTCAATGACCAATATAAAGTACTTTGATCAATGTCCTTTATCAAAGTTCACCAGAAACAGGTCTGTCTCTAATATTAGATGTCAGGGTGTATTGAAATATAGCAATCAACTACAACAGGAATCACAAAACAATTCCATTGCTTGCTTAAAAAAAAAAACCAGCACATATATAGTATCATAACAATTTGGGATGAATGGGAGTGGAATTGTGTATGAATGTCAAAATCAGATGTGCTTAATTCTAATTATATATCAGATATTGTTTAGAAGGTGGATTTTGAAATTGTATCAGAAAACATGATTAGTCCCACATCAATTATTATACATGGTACTGCCTGCCATACCTTGGGAAGACCCAGGGAAGAAAAAAGGAAAAGGCAGGTGATAACTCTCAGAGAAGCCTATTCAGACGTACCCTTTTCTCCTTTTATACAGAGCTCCCACCACCAACTGCCTTTGCAGAAATAAGTGTATAGAACAGTTTTAGTTCATTAAAAATAAATAAAAATATTTGTTTTTAGTTGCATGTAAGTATTTACATCCTGCCTTTATTTTGTACAATTCAGGATAGAGTACATAAAATTATCCAGCCAGCTTTCATGCCTGCAGGGGACAGGAATTTAGCCTCTTAGTTTCTACTTCAGCATCTTATCCAAACTGACTATATTGGGAAGAGACAAATAACAATAATAATTCAGAAATATAAATAGCCTGTTCACTTAGGCTCCAAAATACTTGTTGAGGCCCTAAGATAACATAATTTCCTGGCTGCTCCCAATAGAGATCAATATATATCAATATATGACACAGAACTATGAATGGAATTAACTTTTGAGTTGATTCAGAAGGGTTTTATTTTTATTTTTAGACCCTGCCATCCATCCATCGGATTCAATGTTTATTTCTTGACAATCACCATCTCTTAACATAATTTCTTTAGTCTTTAAGAAAGCAATAATTCTGACCCGTATTACAGATTGGATTGATAAGAGTGGCCCTGAAGCAAACAGAGTTAGCTGCTTACCTATCAGAAGGGTAAACTACTATATTGCACTGAGACATATCCCGAATTTATACTGTATGCTGAATAATGATGAGAGATATGCAGATCAACCACCATTTTATCAAACCATTGTTTTTGAAAGATATTTAAGCTCAGTCTTTGACATTTCAGTTTAGTTATATTGACATCAGTGGGACTTATATTAAAAATTCCATTCTATGATTCTATTCTATATGAGGTTTTCTTTAAAAAATATCCAATCTTATGCTGGATACAGAAGGAATATAAAAGGGGATTCCTCTGTTTTACCAAAACAATTTGCAGGCATCAGTCATGCATAGGCTAAGCAGTCATGCATGGACTTGGCAGTTTTTTGCTTAGCTCCATATATAAAATTTGCAGTGATGCAGATTAGCACCATCATCATCATCCTCGTCATCCACAAGATACATTTATTTGACCTACCATGATCCCCTTTGAAACGATGGCTGAGTATATGCTCTAAAATTGCAGCAAAGTTGACAAACTCTTCTGATGAATCATCAATGGGTTCTATCGTATATTTTTCCAATAAAGTCTTCACAGAGAATCTACAATTGAATGAAAAAAGGAAACATAAACAGAATTAAAAGGAAAAAGAAGCCAAATAATCAGATACAGCTTTTCTAATTCTTTGCAAAATATGTGCATAAGACAAAATTCTTCCTTTTCCACAACTGACTGAGCCTTTGCTCATAAAGTAGCAGCAGGAAAAAGGCTGGGCTCAGCCCTAGTGAGGCAGCTCCTGAGTCTGCACGCTAACACTCCTTATAGTCTATTGTTCCCATGCCTCTTGCTCAGCAAGTACAGCTCTTAGAAACATTTTTGCCTTCCCTGCCAAACCTGACTCTTTCTTAATTCAGAACTGAGAAAGTCAATAACAACCACCTTTTCGTCATATGTGGAACTTCATATCCATATCTTAATAACACTGCTACTGAGTGCTTAAATGATCTGCCTTCCAACATTTGACATTAGTTATTTTTTACTGCAAGTTTCAGAGTTAACAGAGAATTATTTTAAAGCCCATTGGTGCCTTGTCACTGCCTGGACAATCCTAGTGTCCATCAGAGAGAACAATATATGATGGTCAGGTACTATAAATGAACATCACTCATGTATTCCACAGTAAGAATTATGTGATGAAATGTAGGTTTTACAATTAAAAAACATCTACCTTAATCACCGGTCATAAAAAATCCTGCTATTTAGTAAATGGAGAGCTGGAAACTTTTAGTGAGGATCCTGGGGGTAGAAGTGTTCAGATTAGTGAAAGATAACTTGGCCTAAATTCCCAAACCCCAAAAACTTTAACCTTAGACTGTCTACTATTGACCTCACCCCTTTCCTAAGAGGTCTGTAGGGGGCGTGCATAAGCGCACCATCGTGCCTACCGTCCCTGTCCTATTGTTTCTCTTATTCTTTTATTTTTCTTATATGTACCCATTTCATGTATTCACAACTATGTATACACTTATACTTATTATCTTGTAAACAATTGGCAAATCAAATAAATAAATAAATAAATAAATAAGCACATGGGGTGGGAAGAGAGAGATTAATGGGTCAGGCTTCAGGAACCGGAAGCTCATCCCTTCCCAAATTGGAATAATTTATCCTTAACAGATGACCAATCTAAGCTTTCTTATATTTATGTACTTCTTTGTTTCTCCTCCAGTAAAATGAAAGCAATTTGGATTAATCCAACTTTTACATGTCCTTATTTGGAACTAACATAATGGTGATCATTTAAATGTATTCTGGGTATATATTTTTAATTGCTGAGTTATGTATTATGTTTCAATAATGTGGCTATTAAACAAGCAAGTGAACAAACGTGGGAGATTTTTATTCTAAGCAGCTTTGGGGAAATTATTGAACAGATTATTTGTTATACCCAGTAATAATTTTAAGCAATAGTGCATTAAGGAATACTTAAAACTTTCTGGCATAAATCTCATGAGATTTATAGCCATATCTCTAACCAGATTTACACAAAAATAAGTATAATAATATTCCTTAAGCACTCTCTTGCAAACTAATATTAGGTATTTGATATCATATACAAATTAAATTGTTAATAACTTCTGAGAGTAGCACTTGCATTTCCATATGATCCACTTCTCTGGTCATAATTATGTCTGTGTTTTGCTGGATGCTGGGTAAGAGTGTAGTATCTGTGAATGGATTGGTCCCTCTTAAAAAAAATTACTCACTCTCAGATGAGGCTGCCAATAGCATCTCTGCATGAATCACCATTCTAGGCTGGCTTTCAACTAATTAGAAATATCTAATATCATTGAATGATAATAATTAGAATTCTGTTAGGGGAGATTATTTCTATTTCTCTATATGTTAAAAGCTAATTCTTTTAAATGCAAAGTGAAGTATGTGTACAAATAGCTCACATAAAATTTTTCTTAGCTTTCAGGGGTCTGAGAAACATAGCTTTTACTCAATGTTTCACTGTTCTGCATTTTACAACTTCTACTGTTATAACTTAATTATATTGTATTTTGATGTATTTTGCTTCTGTTTGTTTCTCAAGCTGCATGTGCTTATACAACACTAAGTGCATTGTGTAATTAATTAAACATTACAGTCTGTAAACAAGTTTTGCAGTTACCTAACCAGGTATTCAAATATGAATTAGAAAATCAAGCTTAGGTTGTAAGTTCACACAAATTTATTTGTTTATTTATTTATTTATTGAACTTATATTGCCGCCTATTCACCCATGGTCACACGAATAATGTGAATATCAGAAAAATTAGATCTCTGTGAAAGCAAAGATGAACTCATCATGCTATAATGTATTTTGCCATTAAATATACACTTGAAATTTGCCAGTTCTATCTAATAAAGGTTAATATCAATTGATAATCACAAAAATTTTGGAAACATCTTCTTGATTTTCACACCTTCAATTATTCCTTGGATTCAATTTGGCTGCTAACCTGATCTCCTAATTGGCTAAAAATCTAATATAAGCATTTTAGTTCAGGTCAGCTTGAAAGGAGCAGGTGCATACAATAGTATGCCTGAAAAATCCATTAGAGTTGGCAGTTAAAAAGAATCAATCAATCAGTAAAGATTCCTGATTCAATCTTTATTTTTTAAAAAATTAAAAGCAATATAACAGATTACTTGATCTACTGACAGTTAGCTTCCTGTGATGCATTTAGCATTAAACCCATTCAGAATGTCTCTTGTTATTTGCCTTTCTGCCTGGTTTACATAGCCTCTGCAATTTAATCTTTTTTTTTTTTTTTTGGTATTGGCTTTTCATGATCTACCTATGCTATGGCTGCAATGCCTGAAAAATATTCCTGGAAGTTCCATAAAAACATGAAATTGAAGCTAATTGAAAATATGATTTAAGTTATTCAAAATAAGCATCAGAGCTGTTTAAACCTTTGAAATGAGCTGCTTTACATTATATGGAAGCATGTGTGAGGCAACTATTTTCGTATTTAAAAAGCTGCATCTTTCCAGGCTGATGTGAAATCATTTGCACAACCCAGAAAGCAATGAGTGTTTTAATCCATCTCTAAACCTCTACATTCTGTGAACTACTTGAAGATTGAAAATAATAACACCAGAATTATCTGACCAAATAGCAACTAGTTAGATGCTCTTAGAGAAATTCTGATAGTGATATCCATCCACTCCTCAGCATCCAAAACATATACTATTGCCATATCAAAGTAGGTGAAGCATAATGCTGTAATTTATCTTCAATGGTTAGGCTGAATTTGGTCAGTACCATTCAGAATGTTGCCTAATGTTATCACTTGAGTATTTATCAAGTTCCTTAACATATACACCTATTTTTTTTTAAAGTAAAATGAAGAGAAGAATGAATAGTGTTAATGAGTATCATGATTTCTCATTCCTTAATTCAGCATTCAAAATGTAGCCCAGTGAAAAATAAAGCAATTGCCTTTTCACATAATTGTTTCCCAAAGGTAAGAAAAAAATAATTAGCACATGTTCAAGATTCTCTACAAAGCCTGCTCCCCCTGCAAAGCACATTTTGTATGTCAATATTCTTTCTGTGGTATTTTTGTTATCAATTATGCTTGTCATGTGTATTTATAGAAAGAGTGTTATACATAAGACTAGCCTTATCTGTAAATAGAAAGAAGATGATCTTATTTGAGTTCAATGGGGTTATAGTCAATTTAAATATTTGCTGATAAGGTTTGTATTTTATCAGTCAAGATTATCTAGTCTTTATTCTTTATTCTAATTTATGTAAGCACTATATAAATTAAGAAAAAAAGAATAGCAGCAAAAAGTTGTCTACAAAAATGCTTGCTGTAGATATTTTCTTCTTCAGTGGAAACCATGAATACTTGTATTTAAAAACAGTGTGAATAATATTGATTTACATCCATCACCTGGGGTTTATTTCCTCCTCCTAAGTTTAAAAGCCCAGATTATTGATATTTTCTTGTCTAAGAAAGATGGGTTATGATTTATATTTTAGTCAACAATTGTGCTGGCTGGAAATATTGGAAAGACAACAGACTGGAAAAAGCTGCTCTCATCATTTTAGCTCCCCATTCTCTATCTTCTCCACCTCTGCTCTTTTTGGAAAGTTAGAATGATCAACATTGCACCCAACTTTCCAAAAATAAAAGACTAATTGTGATTTTTTTTTAAACCATTCAATCCTAAAAAATAAGCCTATTAAGGTGAAGAGTACATCTTTCTTCACTTCACTGGGAAAAACAAAAAGCACAGAATCTCATGGTCATCTTGTTGAATAAAAGGTACAGGGTGCTTGGAGGCAGGCCATCCAATTCTGGCCAGTCCCAGGAAGGAAGAGACATGAAGCTTTGGTTGGCTCTAAGCTAGGATTGTCCACATGTATTCGTTTTTCTGGGCAGTTGACTTTGATAGACAAGCAGAGGTCACCCAGTCTTTGGTGTCAGATATATGAATTTTTCTTAATAGAAGAAACCCATTGTCTCCTCTGCTTTTATTTCCCAAACTGTTTTTTCTATTATTATTTTATTCCATCTGAATAAAAACATTAACCTTCCAACAAAAGCTGCACTATCTTCTCCCTGCTTTAGCAATGCTATTTTGATATAGGTTGAAGAAACTAGAAACTAAAGGTAATCCTTCTACTTTTTGCTCAATGCCTTTGTTGGAAAATGGAGATTGTTGCCATAGCAGCTGCCTACTAGTTCTCCTTTTCTCCCGCTGTCCCTTCAACTGTTCAACAGTGATGTCACTTCCCAGATCTCATATCTCCCTAAATGGATGTCTATAGCATTCTTCTATCAACATTGTTTCCAAGAGAGTGCCTTCCTTTCTTTGAGAAAAAGAATGGGAAGGAATAAAAGGGATTCTAATATTGAAAGGGTTCCCTGTGACTTTTTGTTTCCTATTTCTTGCTTCTTCATGGGATTCAAGTTATGATGTTTTCAATTCTAAAGGGCAGCAATTCACTATAACAACTAGAATTATAGATAGCCTTTCTCTTGCCTCCCAGAATTTTCCACCTTGCACTGGAGCTGCAATTCCAGCTGCCAATCTGAAACTGTCTCAGCTAACTAATTGGTTTGTGAATGAAAATAAGGGTTTCAAGGCTGAAAATAGCTAGCATTAGGGTAAGGTCAGTATAATTTATGGTGTATTCCTCAAGTCCATGGCCATGTGAGAAAACCTCCTAGGTTATTAGAGTCTACTGATTTAATTAAGAATACATTTCTGGAAACCACAATTACTTTGAGTTTCTAATCCATAAATTGATATGCTGAAAAGTTGATTCTGCAAATATAATAGAAGATGTGCTGGACTGAACCTCACATAATTCCCAATTAGTATGTCCATTGACTATGCTGAGTGGAGTGATGAATAGTGTGACCCATCTTCTGTTAAAGTCCAGTGCTTTGGGACTCTACATCACCATTGTTATTTGTCCCCCTTCCCCCATTTTTTAAAACTTTCAATTTGCTTGTCTGCCCAACTTAGTCTGCCCTCTTGGATCTCTTGAATTCCAATCTCCCTGATTGTTTTTTTTCCCATCATTCGATATAGTATTTTTGCCTTTTTAGCTCTACCCCCTGTGTGAAATGTATGCAAAACGTTGTGTAAATCTTTAGCCTTTTCCAGACTTTTTCTAAAAAAATATTATTCATCATAAAATTAAAATATTGAGAAAAGGCACCTTTCATTTCCACCTTGCCCACTAATCTGGCTTTCCTGCCACCTTTATCTTAGGGAACATGCCTGTATGAATACCCTTTTATTCAGTCTGCTTCCACCACCACCCATCCCCACCCCGACAGTGAAAGAGTCTCTTACCTGCAGACTGTAATCAGATTTTTCCTTTCTACTGAGATGTTCCGGGAAGAGGTTTTCTTGGAGGACAACCCCAGCGCCATAGTGGACCGGATACAATGTGATTCCATCCAGGGGAAAGATGCTCCCAATAGCCCTGGTGGTGTCACTGCTACCTCTTCCTGCTCCTCTTCCTCCTCCTCCCCACCCCCTCCCCTCCCCCTTCCTCTTCTCCCTATTCTCCCCCAGAAAACAAGGCGTTGAGTCAACCTCCCCCAAGAGCGGATGGCTCTGAAATATCTCCCTCCTCTCTCCCTTCCCCAAATTAGCTCCAGCCCCCTTCTTGGATGAAAAAAAGCAGCCAAAGCCGGATGAATGGCGACAGGGGAGGGAAGGTCGGGAGGAGCTCTCCTTGGTGCTGATGGAAAGCGGGGTCCTCTTCCTCCTCCTCCTCCACAGAGGAAACCGGCCCCCTTTGCCAATGACGTGATGCCCGAGGATGGGAACAGTCGGCGCCGGCGGAGAAGCCAGGAACGGGAAGGAGGAGAGGCGGCGCCTGCCTTGTCAGTGCTTTCCAGTCATTTCATGCAGACATTTCAGCCGTGCACAGAGCTCTCCCGCCATACGGGTCTCCTGCACTTAGGGACTGTGCTGGGTTTGTTTGCTGTTTTGCACTGCAAACAATCTCAGTTTTGCAAGAATTAAAATAAACATAGACTGAGATATTTTCTCACTTGAAGTTGTTTAACAAAAGGATAAAGCCACACGTTGCCCTCCTGGCAGGGATTCACAGGGGATAAAATTGACAACTGTGTGATGACGAAGTGTGAAAGTTGAACAAATCATACTTAAAATCATAAGCCATAATGAGATGTGCTTAAATTGCAGATGTTTTATATGCATCCTGGCATTATGGTACACAATGGCTGTGGGATTGTTTTATTCAACAAACTATGGTTAAAAATAATAGTTTAGGTATTGCAAATCCAGCCAATTCCCCCCCCCTCCTACCCCCATTTCATTCTTGCTCTGTTAATTCTCTGTGTCTTTATGAGAAATGTTCTTTATAAAGTGCCATTTTTATAGCTGGTATTCAGGGGTGGGATTCAATTTTTTTAACAACCAGTTCTGTGTTGTGGCTTAGTTGGTGGGCGTGGCTTGGTGGTCATGTTATTGGCTGGGCGTGGCCAACTCAATATTACTCACATCAAGGCACGCATCTCCTCACCTGGCCTCTCATGACTGTGGGGATGCTGCAACAGTCGTAAGTGTGAAAAATAGTCATAAGTCACTTTTTTCAGTGCCATTGTAACTTTAAATGGTCACTCCACACAAGCAAAGTACCAGCAAAGGAAGGGAAAAAAACTCCAGAGAGGTTCCTGAGACAGGAAGTCTAGTCCTGCCAAGAATGTAATAAGGGTTAACGGAGAGACAGTTTCTGTAAGCAACACCAGAATGTTTCCTTCCTGCCTTCCTTACAGGATTAGGCCAGAAATTTCTTCTAACAACCGAACTGCTTAGAATGTTAACAACCGGTTCTAGTGAATAGGTGTGAACTGGTAGAATCCCACCCCACTGGAACTGTATACATGTAAGGATAACAACAATGTGTTATATCTACTAATTAAAGCTCATCAATACTGCATAAGAGTATGAGGGTGTAACTTAGGTTCTTAATATATTATAATTAGATTTTTCATCTTATTATTTGAGTAGGCCACTAAATTTATCTTATCTATTCATGTCATCTGTGATGAAGGTGAAAAAATGCCCTTTTAAGTCAGATTCTTAATCAAGATGTTAGCTGAGGCTAGAAGAGAAAAATAGGTTGAGCTGCTAAACGTTTTACTTTATGTCCTTTCATACAGAGCCAGACAGATCTATGTTATTTTAATTTGGCTAGACAATACTATCTGGCAAAGGGCAGTTCTATGAGGTTACCTACTAGATGTGCTTTGATACATTTTAATTACAGTTAGTTTTTGGTAGACAGATTCATGTGTTGGTCCAGCACAAAAATTAATTACATTTCTTCTTTGTACTGTAATCTTTATTAATAATAACAACAATAACAACAATAATAACAACAAATCTGTAGGAAAGGCAACAAGCTGAAATACATGTGTGCAGTAATCTTATTGAACTTTAAATAGAACATAGGAACGTTGGCCATTCATTAAGTTTAACTTTGTATAACTGCCCAGAATCACTGCTATGATTATAGGTGACCATATAAATTATTTAAATGCATAAATAAAATTCAGCTTTGCCATATTTTCAAAGTAGATAAATGAAAGTCAGAATCTTGACCAGCTCATCTTCAGAATCCAGCACTCAAACCAATATTTGAATAAAAATGTCCCATTTCTAAGGCAGCAATTCTATGCCCCTTGACCTGGAAATAAGTTTTTCTGTATTTATTCAACCTTTTTTTAGAATAGACATGTTGGACAGTGTGCTATAATTCTGGAGTAATGTATGAAGCTTATAATCATCCAATGGCTGCTCACAAACTTTCTTTCAAAAGGAAGCACCGTTGCTGGACTTAATTGGCTGGTGCCAGATTCTTTAGAAAAATCTCTCTCTTTGCTGCCATGCATTGAATTTTGAAGTTGAGTCAGAATTCTGGGAAGCAAATAAGTAAAAACATCATCAGGTCAAGGACTACTTCTAGTGACTGTATCCATTCAGTTTTCTTGGCAGTAGTACGGAAGTGGTTTGTCAGTGCCTTCTTCCAGGTTTTTTGTTAAACTTCTCAGTCTACTTTCTACTCTGGACTTCCTAAACAATACTAATCAAGGCTTACTCTGGGTAGTGTATGAAATAACTAAAGTTGGGTAAATGCTGTCAGCTACTAGACACAAAGCGACAAACTGGCTTCATTAACTGTAGTTTATTTATTTGCACAATAGTAATTTACATTAGATTTTGTCTCTATGTCTAAATTACTTCAACCTTTCCCAACATGATGCTTCCAGTTGTGCTAGGAATTGAAATATCCCAAATTGTCAGCAATTATGCTAGTTAGAATTGTGGAACTATCATCCCAGCATGTGACATCACTAAATTTGTGGGAATCAGGATAAATTATGTAGAGATTTTCAAACTTTATATACTGAAGTAGCTATTTTCTCATTTTCTTATGTGCTATGCTTGTCTTCTATGGAATGCCTATGAAACAAAGAAGATTCTGTGTTATATTGATAAAACACATCACTTCACACTCATTCTGGCTCACTTTTACTTTGATGGTTCTCAAAAAGCTAAACAGGATTAGACCTACTTTGAACTCAGCTGTGGAAATACTGGGGATAAAACTAGGTTAAACTGGGCAGTTGAGAGGAACATCCTGGAAAAAGGCAATGGCAAACTATTTTGCTTGTTTCCAAGGAAACCATCAGGACATGAATCCACCACGACTTAGCTCATCTTGAAGAACACTTTAATGTATGGTATAAAAAATAAAAAAAGTGATTCTGAAAACATGACCAACTCTTTCTCTTGATCCAAAAAGTAATAAGAGTGGGCTTCTTCTCAAGAAAGATTAATGAAAACTTCAAAGTTCTCTACTCTCACTGTTACCATCCATTCCAGTTCCTACACTATTTATGCACATCTGTTGTTCCAATGCATGCAGAGACTGTTTCACCAAAGAGACAGTCTCTGAGAATTCTTGGATTATTCAAAAACATTAACAAGGTTTCTTGTAAATTATGAATGGGTTACAATTTCGTTCTTGGTAGGTCCCTAAACTCCAATTCTCATCAGCTCTAACACAGCAGAACTAACAGTGATAGAAAATGGGAATTGCTGTACTCTCACTTTATACAACCTAAGTCTTTAAAGCTACCTTTTGTATATATTGCCTGCTTCTGAAAATCAAAATCTTTGGGTGAAAAGATCATTTACCCATCTCAATCAGAATTGGTTACATTTACAAAGAACACTATGCTTTTGTAAAGAGGTATTTGTTTAAGTGAGAAGCAATCCATTCCTGTGATTTTACCAACTGAATGCATTAAAGCCAGTGATGTGTCACAGAGAAAAAACAAATAAATTGGAAGTGCTTGTCAGATTAAAACACATACAGATTCATTTGTTTTACCTTTATTGTCCTGCAATTGAGCTTATGAGTTTCAAAGTATGTTCCCATATACTTTGAAACACAGCTTAAATGTTTTTCTTTGACATTTGATTATTTATTTATCTTTGAATATTTTCTTTGTAAAAATCTAAACTAAGCTATTTGCTGTAAACTGGTGAGGAGATATATATATTAATTCTTACCTCCTGCTCTCTAGAGGTTGGCATTGGTATAACATCATTTCTTGAGAAGGAGAATAAAGAAGTAATCAGTCCTCTCAGATGTAGGGAGGGATTCAGCTTTTGTCAGCTGTATCATTCTAGATAAAACAAGGCAACTTAAATGGAAAACTTAACTTAGTGGAAAAACCACCAATCTGTTCCAGTGCTTTGAATAGCAGTTTGTTTAAAATGTTGCATGGAAGCAATGCACGTAGGCATTTCCACTTCAAGCTACCATTGAAGATGCAATCATAGAAATGGGCTGAAATTAAAACTGGCTACCCTAACATTCATAATGATCAAGAATTGGATCAGGATGATTCTGAGAACTTAGATCACTTGTATTAACATTTATGTTTTTCTTAATGCAATCCAGGTTTAATAATAGCCTGGGCACCCAAATTTTTCTTGCAGCCATTGAGAACTAACAATCAGCCTTCACATGTGGCCAAGATTCTACATCTACAATACTTCCCTGCCACGCTATCATGCCTCAATGGCATGGGAATGATAATCTTACAATAACTGCAGATTTGGAAACCCTTCCCTCCCCTTCCACAAATTAACCCATAGCAGTATCCCAAAGCAGGGATTAATGGTGCCAACAATGTTGCAGAGAAGCTGAGGAGAAGCAAGCAGGGAGGACACTTGCTTTTGCTAGACCTGGCTGCCTACTCAGAGATAAAGCAGTTACTGAAGGAGGGGATGCTCTGAGATAGGCCTAATCATAAAGCACTATCCTCCGTAAAAGGCAACCAGAAGCACCACCCAAACCCATCCCATCCACCTACAAGCTATCAGGTGCCCAATAGGTGCCTCCTATCATTCTGTGAGAGGGTTTTTTTTCGAATATCACAAGGAAAATTTCATTGGCCCAGTTTTCTTGGTATGTTTTAAAACCCTCCAATGACAGAGTTCCTCGTTTGCTTTCTCACAAAGGTCTGAAGAAATGTACTTCAGCCGAATAGAAGGTGAAGAAGTCTGCTGCCTAACAATGTATTGAACACTGTGGCTCACTCAATCTGATATTCAGTGCCATCCACTCTGATTCCTGGATCAAGTGACATAACAGCAGTGTCAGAAGAAACATCTTATGCAAAATCCAACTATTACATTCTAAAGGAATATACCTGGCTCCAAAGCCTGATGGAAGAGCCCTGAGCCCTATGCTTTAAAACTGAAATACATATAGATGTACACATGGTACATATACATATACACAGACACACAAGCACACAAATACATATTGACTGAATGACTTGGTGTTTACATAAAATAGTCTAATTATATTTTACTAATTTAATATAACTAAAAGTAAATTTGCATTCCGTTAAGCAACATTTAGACTTTCTTCTTACCCCCTTTGGCATGTAGGCCTCAAAGGGCCATTACAGCCTTTATGTAGGGAAAGATTGTATGCTCCTTCTTTAAACTAGCTTCCCTAATCAGATTAGCTCTAAATGAATTGGGAGTGCAATTCCCAAAGCTTTTTACCTAGCATAGATGTTGGCTAAAAGTCTGGACGTTATATTTCCATCTGGCGAACGCCCTACTCAGGGAGAGTGATCTAGCATTTTCTTAACTACCGAACAAGCCAGTTCAAAACCTTCCCATGTCTCTACATATCTGACACTCGCAGTTTTTAGCTTCTCATTGATTCTAAGTAGCTAGAGAGCTAAAATAATTCGGCAAGATCTTGCCCTTGTTGGATCAATAAATAACTGCTGCTGCAAAAAAGAAGGATCTACACTCTTCATCAAAGATATATACATTGGGTATTATAACAAATCACAAAAATATGGGAACCTATTTAGTCTCACTGAGCTTTTCTATACAACAGCAATGTCAAATTCAGGGCCTGGGGGCCGGATCCAGCCCTGGGGGTGCTTAGATCTGGCCTGCAGGGCCCATCCTGGAAACAGCAAAGGACTGACCCGTGGTGCTTCTGCCGGTAAAAATGGAGCTTGTGGAGTCAGTGCGTGGCCTGCCCAGGCTCCGTTTTTGACAATGGCCTCCTGCAACTCTCCGTCAACAAAAACAGAGCTCGGGGAGGCCACATGCTTTCACTGTTTTCCACATGTTTTCACTGGCAGAGGGTTGCAGGAGGCTGTCACGGCCAAAAATGGAACTCAGGAAGGCCCTGTGCAGCCTCACCATGAGTGACATGGAGGTGGCCACGCCAACCTGTCTACAACCCCAGCCCCCGAGGTCAAACACAACCCTGATGTGGCCCTCAATGAAATCGAGTTTGACACCACTGCTATATAAGTAATTACATCTTATTCTAATACAGAGTTCCTGTTATGCTTAAAACATGAATTGTATTTATATGCTACATGAATGTGGCTGAATACTTATGCGCGCGCGCACACACACACACACACACACACACACACACACACACACATATATATATATATATATATATATATATATATATATATATATATATATATATGCAATATACCTGTGTCATGCACCATCTGAATGTCATTGAGTGGTATGTTCATATTAACTGATTTACACCATTGAGCAGTGGACTTATCCAAATAGTTTTGTATATATGAAGCTAAACAGTTATTATGTTTAATCTCAGATCCTCCTCAACTCCAGGGAAAGTCAGAACTATGATAATAAATTTACTGTCTGTCTGGGAAGGAAGCTAAGTACTAGTCCAATTTGAGATGCTAGCACAGAAAGAGCATATTTTCTACAGGAAACTAAGTTTACAAATATAAACAATGCCATTCTGACATTATTGATGGGGCCAGAAGTTGCAGAAACATCAAGAATATTACTAAGCTACATTTGGAAGAATAAAATTTAGTCAAAACATTAATGCTAGAAGTAACAAACTGATAAATATCTGGAAGAGCATCTTTTCTGTTTGTGCTTTAAAGGAGATGCTCCCTTAAAGTGCCATCAATAGGAGAAACAGACTTTGATTTTACAAAACAGGGCCTCTCCAGAGGTGTCTTTCAAATGTCCTTTGTAAAGTAATAAGTCTGGTGCTATTTTTACGCTCTTATCTTGCAACTCTATCATTGTTATATTGTATTTATCATTCCTTAATGTTATGTAAACTAATAAAATCACTTGTAGTTGGTTAATAAATTAAGACAAAAACAAAAATGTTCCAAGATCTTGATTGCATAAATTTAAAATCCTACTGGTGAAATACAATAAGTAAACTCTATGTGGAAACCTAGTTGGGTTTTAGTGATAAATTTACAGAAGCTCCATACAACAGAGGAGGAGGAGATATACTTCCATTATTATAATATCCGGATTGAGCATGAAAGACTAATTGTTGTAAATTATTGTAGCTATATAATTAAATATCAGACTATGGAAATTAAATTATACCCGATATTACAGTGTACAATGTGTGAGGAGGGAATTTTTTCCAATAATGGGCACACTGATAATGTGTGTTTTCTGGGGTGACCCAACCTAATAGAGACTGGCATATTCCTTCTCTAAGTCTAAGCTAAGATTTACATTGCCTTATATTTCACAGTTGACAGATAATTACCGCTGGCTGCTAAAAAAGATGGATTATGTTGAAATGACCTTTTTATGCTACTATTTCTATCCTTAAGGATACTTTAGTTATCAGTTAAATGGAACTGGAATTTCCCCTCATTCAATGATCTCTACCAATTTTACAATAAGAGCTCATCTGATCTGTGCTTGTAATTTATACAGGGGCAGACTTGACAGATCTTATGTGTTTAAACTATGGTGGAATTGTTCCTTCTTTCAAAGAGAACATTGTTTTACATTATTTAAAGGTTAGTTCTGTAAAGTGCACCCAAGAGTTCATTTGAAGTTACTGGGGACAGAAAGATACAGTTCATGCCCTATTATCATCTTTTCCCTATTCTCTGAAATATACTAATGGGACACTTTTCTGGTAAACATTTCACCAAACAGTGCTTCAACTTTTGGCAGGTACTCTGCTTTCTTTAGAACAGAGGTCTCCAAGCTTGGCAACTATAAGACTAGTGGGTTTCAACTCCCAGAATTCTCCAGCCAGCATGGCTGGCTGAGGAATTCTGGGAGTTGAAGTCCACAAGTTTTCAAATTGCCAAATTTGGAAACCCCTGCTTTAGAACCAGGAAAGGGAATTTTCTTGTAATTTTTAAAGAAGTTTATCTTAAAGATATGAAGTTGAGAAACTAATAGGACTTATGGAAGGAGATACAGACTGGCTGAGTCTTGCTCAACATTTATGATAATTTCTAAGGATGGTACAATCAGTAATGGTAAGATGGGATGGGCATACCATGAAAATTCAAGGGGACACACAGATGGTTAGCAGGGAGGTAACACACATGGTAATGCAAGATAATGTTGTTTACTGGCCTTGAAAAAAGGTAGAATCTAGAACATCCAGAAGCATCTCAAGTGCCAGGTGGTAGGACAAGATTAAAGAATTAACCATGAGTCAGGACTTAGAAGCTCCTCTGGAGTATTCCGTCAGCTCATTACTGACTCTTGTGGACTGGTAGAAACTAGAAGACGTGGATTCCATAGAGCAACAAAAAGCTAAGTGGTTTAGACTTCTGTTGCTTTCTCATCAAGAATATCCTGCAAGTAAATAGGTGAGTGAATTTTACATTCTCAGTTTCTATGAGCTAATGAAAGATGCTCAGGATCTAGACAAAAACTGTAGTAGAAATAAAGGGCAATAACTGAGGAAGGAATAGCCTCTGTCCTTTGGAAGTAGGAAGGACTGGAGGAACCCTCTTTAGTTAGACTTTTATAGCGCCAAAAAAAACAGTAATGGTAGGTTTAGGCCCCTCTCAAACAATTCTTGTAGGATTGCATCTCCCACCACTCCCACTATTGTGTCATGTGGGGTGGGGATAATTGGAACACAAATATATACTGGGTGAAGATGGTTAGAATTCTAATACAAAATTCTAAATTCTAAAACAAAATTACAGGAGATATGAAGGAACATCTCTGAGCTAGTTTTATCATTAACTATTTGATCTGTATCTTGAAATATTTGTGCTTTGAATGCCTGATAGCTGTAGAGGTTTCCTAGAGATTTTTAAATTTTGAAACAAAATGAATCTACTTTGTGCTAATTCATATTAGTTTGGATTTGTTCCTATGCTTTTCTTCTCTTTTAACCTTTTGTTCTTTTAAAGGAATCATCCCTATCTTGTAGCATAAAACCCATGCCTAGAACTTGGTTTATATAATGCTTAAGGCATAGGTTTTATCTTTCTGGTTGATACAATGAAGGGGAGAAAAATTTCCAGCCATGAATAGGAAAAATACACTCTGTAGTTAAATTATATTTTATGGAACGTTGGAGATAGCTGGGAAATATGATGAGATTATATAAGGCAGTCTCTTCTGTAAAATATTTTAATAAAATATCAAAAATTGAGTTTCTGGAGAAAATAAAGGGTCCATGAAATCTGAAAATGTGTCTGTAGACAATAATTTCTTTGATATTTCTTAGAAGTTGATAAGTTGTTCAAGATGACTTATTTTCTCCTGTCTCTCAAAAGCAATATATATATTGCTTTTGACTGGACAGGGAACAATCAATTGAAGTTTTAATGGTTAAAGGCTATTGATCCATCTATCTTCCATGAATTTGCCAACCTTTCTAAACTCATATAACCACCTGCCATTATCACGTCTTGTGACAAAGAATTCTAGAAGCCAGAAAGAATACCATATAGGAAGACATTAATTATTTTAATTCATCCAAATCTATGACTTATTAGGTTAGTTTGGGTATTTCAAAGTCTAATGTCTTCAAATAGATCATAAATCTCTATTCTCTGCTATTTGAATTGTGTTTTTTATACTTTTGGGAATATTATTTCTCAGATGACAGGACTGGAATTGTTCAGTACTTCTGTTGCATTTAATTATTTGATTATGTTCAAATATTAATGTCCATTAATTAGTTTTTATGTTATAAACATTCTTACTTCTTTATATTTCTTCATATAATTGATGACAGAGATAGTGACAAGTTTTTTTACAGATGTCCCAAAGATGTTCTTAATTGCTCTATGAATTAATTGATTGATTAGATTGCAAGAATGGTGCAAAGATAATGAAGCTAAAAATTATATTTCAATTGTGGTACTTTATGGAATAAGAGAGTGAAGTATTTGATCAGGTAAAGGGCTTCTCTTTCACTGGATATATTCAAGCAGAGGCTAGACAGATATTTATCCAGGATGCTTTAATTTTGATTCCTATATCGAGTTAGGTTTGATGGCATGAATGGCCTCTTTGGGCTCTATATTTATATAATTGTAACTGGATTTTGCACTATAAGATGAACCAGCCATCAGCTTGTACAGATATTATTAGACTGCTTAAATTACAAATTCAGCAATCAACATGGGATCTCAAATTAGAAAGTCTGCAGAGTTATTTAATTCACAGTACTAATTTGCACATCATGCTAAGACATAGATTTTAATCACATCTCAGTTTGTTGAATAAGCCATAGTTGATTGGGTTCTCTTACCACGCCAAGGCATAAACTTGGTCTATGAATTTCAAAGGTTGGATTCAGCCAACATATCAAATGGCCACAGTTGCTGAGAGGAAGGTATTTGTGGCTTAACCCATCCAACGCCTTCTCTAAAGCATTTCCAAATCTCCGCCAAATTCAGCCTTTTGGTTGCATATAGACAATGAAAGGGGTTCTCCCTATCAGAAAAAGTTGAGACATTGCTGCCAATTTCTTACAGTTTAATGACGACCAGCCCAACCTGCACCTCATCAGAGAAAGATAATATTTATCAGTAGTGCAATGCCACAAAACTCCATTCATTTCGCCTGGACTCACTGACTTGTTTATAATTTCAAGTCAGCGATTATTTAAAAATCACGAATTGCTGAATGGAACTCTGCATATAGAGCTTTCTTCCCTCTGTTGTTAAGGAAAATGAGAATTTAAATTACGGAAGAAAGACTCAAAGACATCACAAATGCAGTGATCAAGTTCATAAGAAGTTTTTAATCAAAAGTTCTCAGTTAGTAAAAGGATTTTAGGGAAGGGAGAAGGAAAAATTGAATTTTCTGTTTCCACATCTTCCCCTCTTAGGAAGCTTGTCCTATTAGTTGATGCTGACTTTTGAGGGGATAGGGGAAGAAATATACTGAGCATATAGTTTGATGAGCTTCTATGGGCAGAACATGATAGATAATCAGGAATAGTAGACAAATTAAACTTAACTTTCAAACTTAACATCGCTACCAGATGTATGAGGAATGTACCTTGTTTCCTGTGCATAAAATGAATGCAATTGTACTTACAAAAATGAATTGAAAGGAGTTTGTCAAGTGCTATGTTATAGAAGGACAACCCCCCCCCCCCCAAGAATAGTTTAGCAGTTTGACCAAGATGGGGAAAGTAAATTAACTGAGAATGTGGGTGACACTGGAAAGAGAATGGGGCATAACTAAGACATGTCTCCTGATTAAATCTATTATAAGGCAATTGTGTGAGTCTGCTAAGCACCACACCCCATTTTCAACTGTTCTTACTACAGTGCCCCCTAGTGTTGCAAAAAGGATATTGAAAAGAGGTCACTGCTCCAGTGTTTTGTTTCTAACAGCAAAGTTAGAAAGAAAATTCGAAATTATTGGAATTTCATGTTACAAACACAGTCTTTCAACTCTAGACACTGGAGACATTAACATTTTTCAGCTAGGAGTTATAAGAAATGCATTTTAAAAAAAAGTATTGGTGTCATAATGTCTTCTAAATTCCCCTCTTTTCTCTGCTGTTTATGCACAACTGAACAATTTTTCCTAAGAAAAAGTCTGAAAGAAAAAAAAACCCTAAATTCTATTTTGTCTAAATATAAAATAATAAATTGAATACAGTTACAATGATTATTTGGCATTTATTTTATTCTACCCCCCTTCTGCTACATTTACAATTACAACTTTTGGAGAGGCTCTGGAGGATTATTTATCTCTTTCTCTCCTCCACTCCCCCCCCCCCCCCCCGTGCATCTACCTGCCTGTCTATTTCTGTGTATATGTGTCCATTTTATTATAGCAATAAAATTCCAGTTCTTGGTGATCAGATCCAAGGGCAGAACATACCAAATATGCTGATATGTATGGTTGTCACAAAGTTGCTTAATAGGTAGATAAGTATCCCTTCATATGTTGCTTCAAAGCAATTTAACACACTGAATATCATCCAAATGTATGGATTGCATTTTTTCTTAAAATTATAATATGCAATTGTTACAAAAGAAAAAAGACCACCAAAGCACAGATATAGAATATTTTAAATAATAATAAGAAAGGAGCATCTACTGGTGGTCCATCTTTTGTTACGAAATAATCAGCCAGTACCTGCATATCAGGAATTAAAGGAAAATATTTTGATCTCAGAACACTGATTCTATTCTCTTGAGCAAGTGATATTGTAGCCCACAAGGACTATATTATAGAAGCTAAAATGTTAAATAAAAACTTTATTTACAGCTTAGACATACAAATATCCATGTCTGAGTGTAATGAGAGAAGCTGTTGCAAATCAATTTTACTATAAAAATTTGTCTAGCTGAGAGAACAACCGAGAAAATACTGGAATGCAATGGGCTGATAATGCTGTTATCTGGATCTACTGTAAAAAAAAAAAAATGAATGAATAGTAGCAGTTGACAAGAAGAGGGCCCATCTAGAAGCAACCAGAAATTGAATTAAAATAGTTTACAGTTGGTTATATTCATTGCAGGACATACAAACAATAATAACATGTAATGATCCCCATAGGAGTCACAAGGCACTGCTACTGAAGTGGCTCTGGTTTTCTGTCTCTGTTTAGTTCCACAAGATACCCCAATAAGTCAGTTTTATGTGGTCTGACACAAAAAGCATCGCAAGCAATCTGCCCTAAGACTTCCTTGAAGGTAGAGTTGTGTTCATGTCTCTAACTTCTTAATTTATCTTCGTTCTTCTGTATTTCAAACTGAAACAGCCAATCAGGGAATGTTACCTCCAGGCTAAGCATTAGGAAGAGAACAAGAAGGACACAACAGAGGGACCGGAAGCCAAGAGGGAATGGCATTTCAGGTGAGAGAGAAAATAGGTTACTTCTTACTTGCATATGAGTCACAAAAATAAGCCTTGAATTGGGAGGAAACTGCTGTTTAATCAGCATCAAAGTTTGATGAGTTGCTTAATACACTAATATTAATATGTGTTTTTAATAAGCATTTTTAATATTTTCCCTCTCAAAGGAGGACTATGAATCTGGGATTAAGGAGAAACTTGATTTGGAGGCGTATGGAGACTCTTCATTGAAGCAGTCTAACATGTCCCTTGCAAGTGGAGACAGTGAGTAATTGAAATCAATTGAAGAAAAAATGCAGAAATCTTTCAGGACAAACTTGTCATATACTATTGGGCTCTAAGATGTTGCAGGAATTTTGGAAGGATTTAGGATTCTACTTTGTACTTCAGATTATGTTTAACATAGTTGTTATTTAGACATTAGATCATAAATTGATCCCTGTTTAAAAGGAATATTCATATTGGCTAAGCCACATATCCAAACATTTGAGAAAGTGCCCACTGCTCCAGCAAACAAGAGTCCCGTGGTAGGTGTGTCAGTTGTCATTTTCTTCAAATCATTTTTTTATAAGAAGAGATTCTCAAAGAGAGTAATGCCACACAAAGGAAAAATGTACCTAAGGCCAACGAACACATTGGGAGACATTCTCTTCCAAAGGTTCATTGATTGCAGTTGTCAGTCAGATAAGATATCTTAGTTAAAGGTTTTTAAAAGAAGCTTCTGCATAATAACTTCGGACTGTGAGAAAATGAGTTTTTTTGTGATATACCAAGAAGCCAAAAGTCTCTTAGGTAATTTTATATGGCAGATTGGATCATAGCTAACCATACTTAAGTCCACTGAAATTAATGGATTTTAAATTAGTCATGACTAATATAAATTTCATTGGGTGCAGTTTAGTATGACAATATTTGGGTCCTTCCCTAATCAATCTAATATACTGAATTGCCCCTTTCCATTCCTCCAGTAATGTGCATAAGTGTTCCATAGTCCTTTACTTAAAATTTATGTACTCACTCTGTGTTTAAAGGCCTTTCAGATCAATCTCTGGAATGTGGGATTGGATCAGCGCCCCACAGACCTATCATGATGATATTTGGAAAAAGGTGAAAAAAGTGACATCTGGGTAGGACTGTGGTTGAATTAGTTATTTACTCAGTTTTGCCTCTAAAAGATAGTATTCTAAATGAGCTACTGGCTCGGGAAGGTTGGCATTACTTGGCATTCTTTCTTTGATTGTCTTGGCTCTTTCTTTACAATAACTAAGACTAAAAACCTGCCTGTAAACTCCATAGGATGAGGGGCGACATCTTTACATCTCCAAAAAGCAACCAGAGGACTTTTATCAAATTATTATATTATTTTTAAAATAAATTGGTGGCTTACAAAAATGTTGTAAAAACAAAAGAATATATCTATGCATCCACTTCATTGGCCTCACCCAATGCAAGCAACCAGAAAGCCTATACGTTTATTCTCATGCATACTTTTTCCATTCATTAACAGTAGAAAGGGAAATTGCACATTGTGCTAGATTTCTTGAAAGCAGAAATTGTTTGACTCCCATATCATAGTCCAAATCTGGATTGGAGCCTTTAACTCTTTTTTGGAAAAAAAAATGCACTTAACAAGTGTGGTATTGATAAATTATCAATCTATTCATATTTTTTGTACTATTATTTTTTATTTTGCAATATCCATTATTATGTATAACATTTCCATATCCACAATCTATCCATATTTCTGAGTGTTCCCTTAAGTGAAAAATTCCTGCAAGTAAAGAACTATCCCAACAGGGAAGGAATGAGCAAAAATATTTCTCTGGTATCTGTTGTCATAAAGGGAGATGGTTTTGCTTTGTATGATTTTTCCCCCAGATATGGGAACGTATCTACAATGCCTACAAATAAAAACAAAATGAAAGACTCTAACAACAACATAGCTTTGCTATAATAATTTTCTACATGAAAAAAATATAAGATTTGTTTATTTGAATGGGCAGGAAGCATATATAGACAAAATCTTGTATGTTGGCTAGTATTTGGGGCTGGCAATGAGATAGAAACAGCAGCCACTGTGAACTCAATCAATACTTGCACACTCTTTACACTCTTTACACTGTACTTTAGAGCAAGGAAATAAATAACACATGTGTTCCTATTTAAGGGACAAGAAGAGGCTGAAGCACCGTATATATGCATTAGCTTGGATGGAAGAAAGAAGTTGTTTGACACACTGACTCCAAAAAGCCAAAAAAAGCAATTTTTTGGTATTCATTAAGAACTAACTGTAAATCACTTTGGTGGAAGTGGATAAAGGCACCAGGCTGGGAATAGGGAGACCATGAGTTTTAGTATCACATTAGGCACAAAGCCAACTAGATGAGCTTGAGAATGATAAACCTCTTCAAAAAACCTTATCAAGGAAATTGCAGATACTTGTCCAGGCAGTCACCAGGAATCTACTTCCAAGGCATATACAAGAATATTTTGTATTTCATTGGAGAAGGGAAGCTAAATTTCCCTTAGAAAAATTGGCTGCTGCATTTCAATGTTATTCAATGGTAACATTTGGAACCAAATCTGGACATCAGCAATTTGTGGCAATATTATTTTAAATTTAGCTATAGATCTAAAAAAAAAATGCAACCTGGCACATTTTGCATAAAGATGATTACATTTGCTGTCTTTATTTTCATTCCATCTCAACTTAGTTGCACATAAAATTGGGTTTGGGAATGTAGCTGTGGATATAAGATTCAGCATAGAAGAGGGATGTGCTTAAAATGTAATGGCTATTGAACTTTCAGTTTTCCATGCTGAAAGTGACATGGTGCTTCTACCAATGATCAAGAAAAGAAATCTGTAACCATCTTTGAGAAGCAAAGCAGCTGAAAACATCCTATGTAATATTAATTAACAAAGAGGAACTCTGCATACAAGTCTCTAGCACAAATCTGTTGTCACCCATGTTTATTGAACTTTAATTCCCATTGTCCCCAGCTAGCATAATAAAAGAATCTGTAGTTCACCACATCTGGGGAAGGAGCTACTGTATTAGATTGAAGATACTGTAATCCTTATGGCTATACATGGTGACCAGATTCAGAACATGCTGCCAGTTTCTTTCAGTCTCTAAATTGGACTTGGAAAACTTCCCTTGGTGTCATAGATACCATCTATGTTCTGTATACCTTTGATCCTTTTTCCCAAGGGCACTACAAAATGGTAATTTTGCAGTAATACTAAACCAAATTATTTTGCTATCTAAGGTGAATTACTGGATGGTACCTTCAGTCTATCATATATAAAGGTATGTTCTGTTTAGGCTTGATTCCTTTCCCAAAGGAGATACAAGTATAGCAGTTTTATCTGTCTTTCATACAGCAGCAGTCTATCTTCCAGGGTAGTAACAGGACCAAGTTTAGTTTAATGTAGTTTAGTTTAGTTTAGTTTATTGTCATTGCACTTTGCACCATGAAATTAAACGCCATCTTCAGAGTACATTATAACTATAAAAATAAAACACAAACACACATCCTTCACATTCTATAAAATTGAATTGAAAACCTGATATTGCATTAATAGTGCCCTATACAGTAGAATTCAAGGTAGGGTATGTGGTGCAGAAAGTTCTATTTTCCAAGTCTTGGCACTTACTATCTGAGATAGTTTTTTTGCTTTGCATAATGGAGGGGGGGATATTTATAGAAAAGTTACCAACAAACTTTGAATGCTATAATCATGCCTACAGTGATTTTACTGGGGGAGGGGTACTGCCTCTGTCCCATGGATGGCTTAACTATTGAGAATCTCACCAATCCCACCATTTATAAATTGTCATATGGTTGCAACAGCACATCTAGGGCTTAACTCTAGGGAGCAGATCCAAGAATGTTGGGGCCTGGGAACTAGATTGACAGATAAGCTAGAAGCAACTAACAAGAAAAGTAGAAATCTCATTTTATTTGGCAAAATAAGCCTTCTCGTTTCTTTCTCGTTTCTGCATTTTCAGTTCACCAGATGAACATTTTCCAGCATATCTGTACATCGTTCAGTCAGTACTCCTGGCCTGGTCACCAGGGAATATATCACCTGTATAAAAGAAGGAGGGTGGAGAGGGTATCCATGGGGAAAGCAGGATCCTATCAGAGGCATGCGGACGCAAGTGAGTGTGTGCAGTGGCATCTTCAGTGGCATGGCAGAGGCTCAGCTGCAAACCAGGAATTTCCCACCTGAAACTTTCTTCCACCACAAGTTCACTCACTAGGCAGCTTTAGGCAATTCATTCTTAGACTGAATTTCCCGCCTGCAATATCAGAAAAAAAATAAATCTTTATCTTCTTAACAAAGTGGATTATTGTAACATTACACCAAAATAATATATGTGAGGTGCTTTGAAGGCATTAAAAGTTGCACTGAAATTATTAGAACGACTGAAATTATCAGAGCATTATCTTCACAAATCAATTGTACATGTCACATACTAGTTAATTAGTGCAGAACACTATTTAGCAAATAACTGAGCTTTTAAAAAAGATCATAAATCCCTCTCTGTATGTATTGTACAAATCATACAAAAGGAAGATCAACAATTACCTTCTGAGATTTCAATAGGCACCATCAACTCACTTCTCAAAGCTATAATTGCTGCTACAGTATAAAATGATAAACGATTAAGCTACATTTGATACAAACTTTGGAAGGAAGGCCATAATGCAGTGGTAGTCAACCTGGTCCCTACCACCCACTAGTGGGCGTTCCAGCTTTCATGGTGGGTGGTAGGGTTTTTGTCCCCTACTTTATAAATCACCATTACTGTGGAACCGGTGGGCAGTTAGAGAAAACTTTACTACTAACAGAGATACAAAAGTAGGAAGTAGGCATAAAAAGGTTAACTACCCCTGCCCTAATGTATTAAAGTAGCTATGGAGGGATCAATTTTGTAGAGGAAAAACACTAGAAAGTTTGATTTTCTAAATCAAGATCATGTGTAATTTTGGGTTTCTAACTTAAGGAAGATTATATACAATCATCAATCAAAAAATTACATAATACTTTCTAGCTAATTAGAAAGATAGATTAGTAGCAGAGATGTCCTTGTGTTGGGTGAATTGGCTGTGGCCAGTAGAAATTGGCCCTTCCCTGTTGACAGTAACCGTCTGAGGGAAAGTCATTGAATCATTTGCCCCCTTATCAGGCAATCTGTTCCCCACAAGGACATTGGATTTCAGCTGTTCCTTGAACATTCCACTATTGATGAT